CATCCAAGGAAGGAGCCGAACAGGGCAGGGCCGTTTAGGAGACGCCCAGGGCCGTTTAGGAAACGCCAGTTGTCGGGGCAGGGGTGGTTTTCCCTCCCCCGAGTGAGGTCGCCATTCTTCGAAGGCCAAGGCGCCCGGGCCACAGCCCGGCACACCGAGCCGGCAGAGCCCACCAGCGCGCCATAACCCTCGGGAGCAGCGCCAGCTCTCGAAGGCCAAAGCGCCCGGCCGGCAGCTGGCCCACAGAGCCGGCACCGCCCTCCAGCCCGCTGGGAGGATCGCCATCCCAGAGCTCGGTCGGGCCTTTCCCCCTACAGGGGGATCTTGGACGAAAAATTAAAAAAGATCAAACAAAGCCCCCAAAATAGCAAACAAATGCCAGCAAAAATCGTCCCCAACATATTTTTGGGCAATTTTAGAATATTCCCCCTGAAGAGGGACACGCCCGACTTCATCCTATGGAGGGAGGGCCGCCCTTCCTCGAAGGCCGCAGCGCCCTGCCCACAGCTGGCCCGGCGAGCCGGCAGAGGCCTCCGGCCCAGCGGAGGACGGGCGCCATATATGTACGGGAGGAGCGCCGCGCCTGGCCCACGGCTGGCCGGCAGAGCCGGCAGAGGCCCCCAGCGCAGGGCGCCACCCCCGTGAGGGTCGCCGCTCCTCGAAGGCCAAGGCTCAGGTCGGGCCCGTCCTCCTGCAGGGGGGTTTTGTCGGGAGCCTCGAGACGGGGGTCGATGCAGACGGGGGTCAGCCAGGGCACCGGATCCTGCAAGATCCTGCGAAGACCCCCTCTAGCTGACCCGGGTTAGCGAGCCGCTTGTGGCCGCGAGGCGGCCGCGCATATTGGCTGACCCGGGTTTGCGAAGTTCAGCGTTGCAGTTTTTTTCCTGCATTGCAGTTTTTGGTTTCCTGCTGACCCGGGTCTGGATTGACCCCGGTCAGAAGATCCCCGATTTTGGACGAACAAAAATACAAACGAATGCACCAAAAGGGCAGAACAAAATAATGAAAAAAAAGTCCCCAGACCATTTTTTACAATTTTTGAATATTCCACCTGCAGGGGGACGGGCCCGACTTAAGCCAAGGCGCCCCGGGCCAAAGCTGGCCCACAGAGCCGACAGCGGCCTCCGGCCCAGCAGCGGGCGGGTGCCCTCTCTGCGAGGGACGTCGCGCCTCGAAGGCCCCGAGCGCCGGAGCCAGCACGGGCGGCAGGGCGACTTCGCACTTCGGCCCGCGCACCACGGCAGGGAGGGAGGCCGCCGCGCGGCGCACCGGGCCACGAAACGGCCACGGCCACGGCAAAGACCACGGCCACGGCCGCGGAGCCTGCGACGACTGCAGCGACGGCCTCGGCGAGGCGCACCACGGCCACGACCACGACCACGGCGGCGGCGGCGGCCTCGCCGACGTCTGCGCCAGCGGCTGCGGCGCCGGACCCGGAGGGCGCCGGTGCAGAGTTGGAGCGGCCGCGGCTTGCCGCTGCGCGCCTGTGGGTGCGGATGCACGAGACGACCTCGTGGATGACCTCGCGGCCGTCGTCGTCCCATCACAATGTCGTCTCCATTCTCTCTCTCCCTCTCTGTCGCTGTCTGTATGTCTCTCTGTCTCTGCCTCTCTCTCTCTCTCCTCCCCCCGTTCCAGTCCCTCTCCGTCTCCCTCCCTGTCGCACTCTCGTCCTCCCATTCCCCTCCAGGGAGCGTTGCTGCTCTGCGCCCCTTCTGCTCTGTCTGCGCGTGTATGCCTGCCTGCGTGCCCGCCCTTGCCACGTCGAGCTGCGTGTCTGCAGGTCTGCTTCTGTCTGCCCGCCCGTCCAAGCTTCTCGGCTGCCAGCCTGCCACCCCTGCAAGCTGCCTCTCCGCCGGCTTGCCAGCACGCCCGCGCGCCCGCTGGCCTCATCTTTTTACACGTCGGCAGGCCTGGACCAAACACTGCTGACGTCTCACTCTTACTTCCACCGCCTTTCGCCGACCTCCCGTCGGCGGATCCGCCGCACTTTCGATTCCGCTGGCTGCCGCCAAGGGCGAAACGCGCAGAACGCGAGGCCCCTCTTGAAACACCGTGGGAGGGGGAGTTGTTACGAGGATCGAGGGGCTATCAGTGGATGCCAAGGTGGGTGATCTGTAGCCTAACCTGGCTTCTACAAATGTCCCAAGTGGCTCAGTGGGGTGAGATAACTTTGCTACGTGGGCGGAGCCCATCTCGCCCGGATCGTCAAACCAACTAGGGGGCATTTGTGAACCACTTGTAACTAAGCTAGGTCAGGCCAGGTATAACCCACCTTGGCATCCACTGATGACACCCCATCCCCTCAGCAACTAGAGGCCTCCTAAATGTGATCCGAATAGATATGGTCGGACGATCGCCCCGCATCGCCGACGTCGGAGAGAAATTCAGGCTCCGCATCGAGCCGCATTGCCGATGCGTCGCGATCCTCCGATCCCATCTCCTCCGACACCAACTAGCAGGCCTAGAGCAACCCTGCGACTATCCAAATTTCTGGAACGCGCGCCAGGTGGCGCCCACAGCCTGAGAAACCCTACAGGTACCGATACCGCTACTCCCCGGAACTCTCCTGGAGGGCCCCCCAGGGAGGCCCTCCAGGAGGCCCAGAAGGGCAGCGGTACGGGCACCTTTCCACATCTCACAGCCTGGAGTGCGCAGAGGCGCGCGCACGCTGAATGCGCCCGCGGACGGCGCGCGGGCGCGCGCGGTGTCACGGGAAGGAGGGGGAGGAGGAGGAGGAGAAGGAAGGGTAGGATAGGGAAGGAAGGAGGAGGAGGAGGAGGAGGAAGGAAGGAAGAGGAGGAGGAGGATGGAGAGCAGAGTCCTCCTCCTCCTCCTCCTCCTCCTACTCCTCCTCCTCCTTCTCCTCCTCCTCCTCCCCCTCCTTCCCGTGACACCGCGCGCGCCCGCGCGCCGTCCGCGGGCGCATTCAGCGTGCGCGCGCCTCTGCGCACTCCAGGCTGTGAGATGTGGAAAGGTGCCCGTACCGCTGCCCTTCTGGGCCTCCTGGAGGGCCTCCCTGGGGGGCCCTCCAGGAGAGTTCCGGGGAGTAGCGGTATCGGTACCTGTAGGGTTTCTCAGGCTGTGGGCGCCACCTGGCGCGCGTTCCAGAAATTTGGATAGTCGCAGGGTTGCTCTAGGCCTGCTAGTTGGTGTCGGAGGAGATGGGATCGGAGGATCGCGACGCATCGGCAATGCGGCTCGATGCGGAGCCTGAATTTCTCTCCGACGTCGGCGATGCGGGGCGATCGTCCGACCATATCTATTCGGATCACATTTAGGAGGCCTCTAGTTGCTGAGGGGATGGGGTGTCATCAGTGGATGCCAAGGTGGGTTATACCTGGCCTGACCTAGCTTAGTTACAAGTGGTTCACAAATGCCCCCTAGTTGGTTTGACGATCCGGGCGAGATGGGCTCCGCCCACGTAGCAAAGTTATCTCACCCCACTGAGCCACTTGGGACATTTGTAGAAGCCAGGTTAGGCTACAGATCACCCACCTTGGCATCCACTGATAGCCCCTCGATCCTCGTAACAACTCCCCCTCCCACGGTGTTTCAAGAGGGGCCTCGCGTTCTGCGCGTTTCGCCCTTGGCGGCAGCCAGCGGAATCGAAAGTGCGGCGGATCCGCCGACGGGAGGTCGGCGAAAGGCGGTGGAAGTAAGAGTGAGACGTCAGCAGTGTTTGGTCCAGGCCTGCCGACGTGTAAAAAGATGAGGCCAGCGGGCGCGCGGGCGTGCTGGCAAGCCGGCGGAGAGGCAGCTTGCAGGGGTGGCAGGCTGGCAGCCGAGAAGCTTGGACGGGCGGGCAGACAGAAGCAGACCTGCAGACACGCAGCTCGACGTGGCAAGGGCGGGCACGCAGGCAGGCATACACGCGCAGACAGAGCAGAAGGGGCGCAGAGCAGCAACGCTCCCTGGAGGGGAATGGGAGGACGAGAGTGCGACAGGGAGGGAGACGGAGAGGGACTGGAACGGGGGGAGGAGAGAGAGAGAGAGGCAGAGACAGAGAGACATACAGACAGCGACAGAGAGGGAGAGAGAGAATGGAGACGACATTGTGATGGGACGACGACGGCCGCGAGGTCATCCACGAGGTCGTCTCGTGCATCCGCACCCACAGGCGCGCAGCGGCAAGCCGCGGCCGCTCCAACTCTGCACCGGCGCCCTCCGGGTCCGGCGCCGCAGCCGCTGGCGCAGACGTCGGCGAGGCCGCCGCCGCCGCCGTGGTCGTGGTCGTGGCCGTGGTGCGCCTCGCCGAGGCCGTCGCTGCAGTCGTCGCAGGCTCCGCGGCCGTGGCCGTGGTCTTTGCCGTGGCCGTGGCCGTTTCGTGGCCCGGTGCGCCGCGCGGCGGCCTCCCTCCCTGCCGTGGTGCGCGGGCCGAAGTGCGAAGTCGCCCTGCCGCCCGTGCTGGCTCCGGCGCTCGGGGCCTTCGAGGCGCGACGTCCCTCGCAGAGAGGGCACCCGCCCGCTGCTGGGCCGGAGGCCGCTGTCGGCTCTGTGGGCCAGCTTTGGCCCGGGGCGCCTTGGCTTAAGTCGGGCCCGTCCCCCTGCAGGTGGAATATTCAAAAATTGTAAAAAATGGTCTGGGGACTTTTTTTTCATTATTTTGTTCTGCCCTTTTGGTGCATTCGTTTGTATTTTTGTTCGTCCAAAATCGGGGATCTTCTGACCGGGGTCAATCCAGACCCGGGTCAGCAGGAAACCAAAAACTGCAATGCAGGAAAAAAACTGCAACGCTGAACTTCGCAAACCCGGGTCAGCCAATATGCGCGGCCGCCTCGCGGCCACAAGCGGCTCGCTAACCCGGGTCAGCTAGAGGGGGTCTTCGCAGGATCTTGCAGGATCCGGTGCCCTGGCTGACCCCCGTCTGCATCGACCCCCGTCTCGAGGCTCCCGACAAAACCCCCCTGCAGGAGGACGGGCCCGACCTGAGCCTTGGCCTTCGAGGAGCGGCGACCCTCACGGGGGTGGCGCCCTGCGCTGGGGGCCTCTGCCGGCTCTGCCGGCCAGCCGTGGGCCAGGCGCGGCGCTCCTCCCGTACATATATGGCGCCCGTCCTCCGCTGGGCCGGAGGCCTCTGCCGGCTCGCCGGGCCAGCTGTGGGCAGGGCGCTGCGGCCTTCGAGGAAGGGCGGCCCTCCCTCCATAGGATGAAGTCGGGCGTGTCCCTCTTCAGGGGGAATATTCTAAAATTGCCCAAAAATATGTTGGGGACGATTTTTGCTGGCATTTGTTTGCTATTTTGGGGGCTTTGTTTGATCTTTTTTAATTTTTCGTCCAAGATCCCCCTGTAGGGGGAAAGGCCCGACCGAGCTCTGGGATGGCGATCCTCCCAGCGGGCTGGAGGGCGGTGCCGGCTCTGTGGGCCAGCTGCCGGCCGGGCGCTTTGGCCTTCGAGAGCTGGCGCTGCTCCCGAGGGTTATGGCGCGCTGGTGGGCTCTGCCGGCTCGGTGTGCCGGGCTGTGGCCCGGGCGCCTTGGCCTTCGAAGAATGGCGACCTCACTCGGGGGAGGGAAAACCACCCCTGCCCCGACAACTGGCGTTTCCTAAACGGCCCTGGGCGTCTCCTAAACGGCCCTGCCCTGTTCGGCTCCTTCCTTGGATGCGTTTGCGAAACGGCTTCGCTCGTCGGGGTGCTTATTATGGGGGTGGATTTTCTGCTCTCTACTCACGACGATGGCGCTCCTTCCAGCGGGCTGAAGGGCTCTGCTGGCCAAGGAGGCCAGTTGTAAACTGGGCGCTCTGGCTTTCGAAAACCGGTGGCTCTCACGGGGACGGCGCCCCTCCTGGCGGGCTGGAGGCATGTGCCGGCTCTGAGGGTGAGCCGTGGGCGGGGCACGCTCGCTTCCCAGAAGTGGCGACACTCACGTGGATGGCGCCTCTCGCAGCGGGCTGGAGGGCTCTGCTGGCGCCGTGGGCCAGCTGTGGGCCAGGCGCATTGGCCTTCGAAAAATAGCGACCCTCACGAGGGCCAGCTGTGGGTCGGGCGCCGTGTCTCTCGAGCAATGCAATTGTATGTTGTGCCGACTTTGGGGCAACCTGGCCAGGGCACTGCGTGCATGCTTCTCTCCGTCGCCGCAGAGGTGTCCTTTGCTACGTCTGTGGTGTAGTCGGCCCAGTGCTCCACTTGTTGCCTCGCGGTCGCCTTCTCCATGGCTTCGCCGCCCGCCGCCCTCGGGTGCTGCCGGAGGTGGCCTTGGCCGACTGCGACCTCAGCTCTGTTCCAGGGAGGCGCGGGTGACCTCCCCTGCAGCCCTCACTGGGGCCCAGGGGGTTCAGGATGGTGCCGAAAAGCTGGGGCCACCCTGGGCCAGGGCCCTCCGACCCTGAATCCGCTCAGGGTCTGTCCCCGGACCCTTCCCAGGGTACCGTGGCATCGCTCGGACATGTGCATCTTCGGAGGGCGAGGGCCATCGAGGAAAGCTCTGGACCATCTTGCGAAACATACACGCGCGAAGTCGAAAAACGCACGGGGAATGGACGTCCGCGCGATGGCGAGGTACACCCTGGCCAGTTTTCAATCCAGATTGATGCCCGTCGGCTCCATGGCCCGACACGGGCACACAGAGGCCGAGATGGCGAACAGCTTGTTCCTCGAACCTTCCACCTCGAGGAGTCGGGCAATGCCAAGGGGGGCAGCACCAAGGGGTCACCACCTCCGAGAAGCGGACCTTCCTGGACCCGCCTGGGCCACCAGGACTCCCAAAGACAGCCAGCAACGTCCGGAGTCTCATCGATCCCCCATCCTCCCTCCGCCTCGATTCTCGATTCCCAGAACGAGATGGTGACATCCCCAGAAGTGACCCCTCGGGGCATTGCCTGAACGAGGGGCCCTGGCTCCCGATCCACCGCATTTGGGTTGGTTCTACGATGTACATCTGTGTGTCGGACACACACACCATATGATGCGAAAGAGCAGGGCGGACATCTCCGCCTAGGAAGTGTGCGGCGGCGATTTCCGCAGAGGCATGGCGGAAGCAGCGACAGCAAAGTGGGGCGGGCATCGACCTCCGAGGAGATTGGAACGCAGGGCGGACACTCCGTCGGTCCCCAGGGCATTCTGAAATGTATGGAAGATGGAGGGGAAGACGATCATCCAGGCAGCATGGAGGATACACCCAACCCGCGTAGGAAGGATGAGCGACTGTCCAAGATTGCCCTTGCATCCTTGCCCCTTCGGCCCGTCCTCGGCCACTTTCTCTGGCGAACCTCGTTCGAAAAGTGCCGGCATGGCCTTCCAGGGTCTTTTCATCCTTACCGTGCGTCCTGATCATACGGGTTGATTCTATGGAGGCCTCCTGGGGCCCGTGGCTATGTTCCTTCGTGTGCTTTTGGGCCCCTTCAGCATATGTCGGCCCTGCGTTTGCAGTCGCCTGTTTGAACCCGTTTGTGAACATGTCTTTTTTGTCGCCCAAGCTCCGCCTGTAGGAGGACGCGCCCGACCTCAAGCCAGGGGGACGGGGAGGAGCCTCCGTGGCAGCCTCCAGGCGCCCCCCCCCCTCCCCGCGCGGAGAGGCGGGGCGCGTGGGCCGCGAGGGAGCAGCGGCGCTTGGCCGAGGACGCGGCCGCCGAGAAGGAGCGCGAGACGATGGAGGACATCGAGCGGGCGCTGGCGAAGAGCCGCGCCGCCGTGCAGCGGGCCGCGGAGGACGCGCGCGCACGCGCGAGGGCAGGCTTCGGGCGCACAGGCAGGGCCCCCCCCCCCCTCTCCAAGAGGAGGAGGAGGAGGAGGAGGAGGAGGAGGAGGAGGAGGAGGAGGAGGGTGAGGAGAACGATTAGGAGGAGGAGGAGGAGGAGGAGGAGGAGGAGGAGGAGGAGGAGGAGGAGGAGGAGGAGGAGGACGAGGAGGAGGGGGGGGAGGGAGGAGTGCCCCCCCCCCCTCCAGGAGGAGGGGCGGCCGTACGGCGACTGCTGCTACGCCTACAACGCCGAGCTCCGCGGCGCGGGGGACGGCTGCAGGCACGGCGCGGAGTGGTGCGTCAGGCCGGGGACGGGGGGGTGGGGTCTGCAAGACATTCTCGGGTGTTGCTAGACGTGCCCCTGGCCCAAGGTCCCCCCAGGATTTCCAATCCAAGGAGGCCCCCCACGGCCTCCAGAGCACCCCTCGCGAGGCTCGAAGGGGCCCCAGAGGCGCCAAAACTGAGCGAAAAGCTGGGGGCACCTTGGGCCAGGGGCACCTTTAGCAACCCCCGACATTCGAGTCGAGCGAGCACCATTGGTAAGGCTTCGGGTTGCGCACAAGCAGCCCTTCCAGGGAGTCCCTGCTCGACAGGCCCCCCGAGTAGTCTGGGGCGGTCTCAACACCAAGGCGCTGCCTGCAGTGGCGCCCCTGGGGCGGGGCCTGTTGGTGCCAGCCAGGACTACCTCGGGGGAGCTGTCTGTGAGCAGCCCGAACGCTCACCAGGCAGCACCTCGTGGTGCTGGCCATGAAGGTTTTTTCTCGGTTTCTGGCTTCCTGGGGCCTTCCACGGGCCCAGCGGCTGGGATGAGTAGCTCGGGCGGGGCTAGGACGAGGATAAAGTCCGTACCAGAGCGTTCCGGAACGCTCTCATGGCGTTCTGGCACGCTCTTAGAAGGCTGCGGCGTCCGATACATCCTTCAGAGCCGCCGGACCCCAGAGGTGTTCGATGCATCCTCTCCCGGATTGATCTTCGCCCTGGATTCGTCTTAGTAGCTGGACCCATCTCCCTCGGGGCTGGTGTCCTTCATGGCGGTGTATGCCGGCGCCCCACTTGAGACATGGGGCGCTCCAGGAAGGGCCGCACCTTCGGCGACTCGTTTGCCTTCGGCGGAGACCAGCGGAAGGCCAGAGTAGGCCAGTGGGTGGCGGCGGAAGTAACGGATCGTTGAAAGTAGGTGTTCTTCACGCTTCGCGTATCCTCACCAGCGGCCTTCCCATTTTCACTGGGCACAGGGACCTGCCCACTGGTAAGGTGCTTGCGCCTGTTATGCGTTGGCCACTTGAATTTGGTCATTTTGTCCAGTGCACGTGCCCGTGCTAGCAGCACGTCAGCCAGCTCTGGCCGGCCGCGTTCTGTTTTTGCAAATTAGCCTCGCCCGTGGCCCGGACGTTGCCATCGCCACATGACCGCTGTCTTCGTGGCCGCTGACCAAAAAAAATATCCTCACCAGCCAGTTCGCCTGGAAGGTCTTCCTGGACGTCAGCGCCCTCCTCTGAGCAGCAGCGAGGCACGCCTCCTGTCTGTTCCTCTTCCCGCTTCCTCTTTATTTTCTTTCTTGTCCTCTCTCGGTACGCGTAATTCAGGTCGCCGCTTGCTCGTTGCGCCTCTGACGCCGCCCGACTTCCCTCGATGCGGTCGCGATCAAAAAGTATCCTCACCAGTCCATTTGGAAACCCTGCCCTTCAGAGCTGACGGAAAAAGGGACGAAGAGACACATCTAGGAAAACAAAGCGAACAAGGGGGTGGTTTTGGAATGCCTGTTCGGGCCATCCCTGGGTGCCGCGTGGGAGCGAGGGGAGGAGGAGGAGGAGGAGGAGGAGGAGGAGGAGGAGGAGGAGGAGGAGGAGGAAGAGCAGGAGGAGGAGGACGAGGAGGAGGACGAGGAGGACGAGGAGGACGAGGACGCGGATGAGGACGAGGAGGAGGAGGACGAGGACTAGGATGAGGACGCGGACGAGGACTCATGAACCATCTAGAGGTATTTGTGCGGCTGCTGCTGCTGCTGTTGCTGCTGCTGGTGCTCTCTGGGAGTTTTGGGGGTCCTCTTAGAATCCGATTGGTCACCTTGGAAGGTTTCTTGTGACCAGCTTGGAGGCCATCGGTTACAGGATGGGGGTGTCCCCAACTCAGCTCCCCCTTCTTGGGGCTCTCTTGGGGCTCTCTTGGAGCGCTTTGGGGCGCTCTCGGAGCGGTCTTGGGGCCATTTGGAGCATGTTGGGAACCATCTTGAGCCAGCCTGGGCTATCTGAGCCATCGTGGAGGTCATTTTGGGTTCTCTGAGACGGCTCGGGGGCCTCTTGGGTGCTTCTCGGGTGCCTCTTGGGGCCCTCTTGGGACCCTCTTGGAGCCCTCTTGGGGCTCTCTTGGGGCTCTCTTGAGAGCCCTGGAGCGCCTCTTGGGGCCATCTTTGAGGTTATCGATCAAAGGAGGGATTCACCCGATCGAGGTCCCCCCCTCGAGGGCCACGATCCTCGTGAGGGGTGTCACACATTGGCCCTCCCAGGGGCCGATTTTGGGCGCTCCAACCGGTCGCGGCCCCTGCCGTCCAGGTCCAGGGGAGGGGGTATCTCGCTCACTCCCACCCGCCCTCCCAACACATACGTAGCACCCGAGCCTGGCCCGAGCCGCAGCATATGCAGCAGTCGTTTTTGGATGGCCAGGTATTGGGGGGCCAATCCGCCGCCGCCGCCGCCGCCGCCTTAGCCGCCGCCGCCGCCCGCCGCCGCCGCCGCGCCGCCGCCGCCGCCGCCGCCGATGTCTGCCGCCGCCGCCGCCACCGCGCTACCCGCCGCCGCCGCCGCCGCCGCCCCCGCTGCCGAATCGCCGCCGTCGCAGCCGCTGCCGCCGCAGCCGCAGTCGCCACCGCAGCCGCCGCCGCCGCCGCCACCGCCGCCGCCGCCGCCGCCGCCGCTGCCGCCGCCGCCGCCGCCGCCGCCCCCCCGCCGCCGCCGCCGCCGCCGTCGCCGCCCCCGCCGCCGCCGCCGCCGCAGCCGCTGCCCCCGCCGCAGCCGCCGCAGCCGCCGCCGCCGCCAAGTGTACCTTGTAGTGTTTTTTGGCAGGGACGATGCGGGGAGGCCGCATCGGATTCGCTGCGCATGCTCCGAATTTGGAGGCAGAGTGTGTGTTGTAGTGTTTTTTTGCAAGGGATGTGGGGGGGGCCCTCATTGGCTCGGGTTGGTTCCCAGTCGCCTGGGGGAGGGGGTGTATACGAATAGGGAACAGTGATAAACCCCTCCCCGAAGGGGAACAGGTTTTTGGAAGAGGAAAGGAAGTCATCGTTAGACCTCGTGCGCCCAGGGGGTTGGGGGGATGTGTGGATTCTCAGATACTAACATACTTGAAGACCTGTCCACTCAACAGCCGATCTGATTATGTTGTGATTTATTATGCTCTGGGACGGCCTGAGTTCAACCTGCTTCATCCGTTTTCCTACTTCATGTTTTTTATTTTAAGAAATGATTTCCGATCGACGTGTAACCCGGCGGCGGGACGGTGGAAAGCTGCGGAAGGGGCAGTGAGACCTCAATATTTTTGGACCCACGGCTTCTGAAATCGGCCAACGTGTGGCGTGGCGGCCCCACTCGAGAGGCAGTCAGATTTTGAGATAGGGCTTTCCTTGTGTTCGAAAGGGGCACGATTCAGGAGGGAAAAAACACACAGACACAATAAATCGTCGATCCCCAGGAACAGATGGGAAAATATGGGAAGCGGGGGGGGAGACGAAAATGCAGAAAATATGAAAAAAACTGCTCAATGTGTGTATTTATTGGTGTGTCCCTGGGCCCCTTCAACGATGTAGTTTACATACCCCTCCGGCGCCGCCACTGGCGCGCTCCGCGCGCCAGGGAGGGGCTTCCAGCGCCGATCCAAGAAACCCTTGCGGACCTCCGGAATGTTCTGTTCACGCCATGTTGGTGTGCCTCTGCTTCGAGGGATCAAAAGGGTGACTGGTCCTCCTCGGCGGGAGGCGGGGGGAGGCTGGCGGGAGTTGTCGGAAGTAAAACGCGTGCGGGTCCACCACAGGTTGGGGTATTCGGGGCGTCCGAGCGGTCCAGACGTGAGTCAGTTTGGGCATGCACTGTGGCAGGCAGCGTGCACGCGGAGCGCTGCGACGATCGACCTCGGGCGCGGCGCCCGCTGACGCGCACTGAGGCATCTCCAATGTGATCGGTCCATTCCGCCCAGCTGCCGCAACTCCCCCCGCCGAAGTCGAACAAGCCGCGCCTGATCCTTGCACGCTCCTGTGCTCCTGCAGCGCCTGCACACTTTGATTCGCAATCGACGGCAGCAAAGTTTCCGACGTGGCACGCGCTAGATCCGTGCGATAAGAAAACTCCCGCTCCGAGACTGACGTGACACAAGGCGTGGTCCCCAGGGCCACGTGGCACCAGGCATGGTGCCCAGGGCCACGTGACACAAGGCATGGTCCCCAGGGCCACGTGCAAAGTTCCCGACGTGACGCAAGGCATGGTCCCCATGGCCACGCGGGGGAGCAGGAACTTCCGTGGGGCACCTGCTGGCAGGCCGGCGTCCCATGCGCTGCACGACTGCACCAAAAGGGGGGGGCGGGGGCGCGGCGGCGCACGCTTCCAGTCGTGACTCAGGAGGGTAAAAAAACACACAGACACAATTATTCGTCGACTTCCAGAAAATATGCGGTAATATGGGAAGTGGGGGGGGAGACAGAAACCCAGAAAATATCGGAAAATATGAAAATCTTTTTATTTGTGTGTATTTATTTGTGTGTGTGTGTGTGTCCCAGGGCTCCTTCAGTGACGTCCTGCAGCAGGCAGAGGACGGTGACAATCAGCCTGGGCGTGGTGCCCCGCGCAGCCGCTCCGGCGGCGGGGTGGGGCCTCATTCGGGCGACGAGAACCTATGCACATGCACCGATCCTGGCAAGGCCCAGTCTTGACCCAGGATCGGTGCATGTGCCTCCCTGGCCAAGGCAGGGGGGCGCATGCACCGAGCCTGGGCTCAGGAGGGGCCTGGCCAGGATCGGTGCATGTGCATGGTTCTTTTTCCTCTGATCATGCGTCGCCTGGCGCGCGCGAGAGGGGAAGCGCGATGTTGTCAGCGTGACACGCCCTGTCCACAGGGCGTCTTCTCCTCTGCAGCGAGGAGGAGGAGGAGGAGGAGGAGGAGGAGGAGGAGGAGGAGGAGGAGGATAGGAGGAGGAGGAGGAGGAGGAGGAGGAGGAGGAGGAGGAGGGAGGAGGAGGAGGGAGGAGGAGGAGGAGAAGGAGGAGGAGGAGGAGGAGGAGGAGGAGGAGGAGGAGGGAGGAGGAGGAGGGAGGAGGCTGAGGCCGTCTCTCCGTGCCTGAGCGCGGAGGACCGCCGGGGGGCGGCAGGCCGCGCGGGCGTGCGTGCTCTCGCGTCCTCCCCCGTGCAGGTCGGGGCAGCCCAGGGGTGCGGTGGGCCAGAGTGCAGGGGGGGCGCGTGCCAAGAAACCAGTTGGATTTTGCCAGGGTGCCTTGGGTGTCTTGGATTCTGATGGGCTCCCAATCAGATCTGGACGATTTTCGATCGACACATGTGGATGCTCACTGAAAAATCGCGTATTTCAGGGTTGGGCTTCTTGCGGAGGTTTCTTGTGGCCGAGCCCCCACTGTATCTTCTGGACTGCGTGCCAAGTGCACCCCATGTTCCCCCCATCACGAGCACGCGCGCGTTCGCCGTGCAGGGTCTTTCAGGATGTCGCAGCCAGGGGGGGGGGCAGTCATGATAGCATTCTCTCTCATGGCCGCACGTATGTGGCACTCCAGGAGACATGAGCGCATACCTGACGACATCTTCAAGTCGGTGAAGCCACCAGGCGCAAGGGGTGTCGGACGACGAATTATGCGGTGAGGGCGGTCATCGATGTCGATGGGGCGCCGCTCGCGCGAAGGCAGAGCTGACGCTGTGTGATACAATGGCGACGTTGGCACGCGGGCGATGGTAGTACAATCCAGCACATGCCGGAACTGTAAGCCTTCTCGAGTGGAGGTCTGGGCCTCCTGAATGTAGATACGATCATGTGCTGGGCACGCGGAGAGATTTGCAAGCCGTCCTGCGGGATTCGAGAGGCTGGGAGCCAGATTTACTGTGGAGGGGATGCGTCTTAATTTCCCGTGGTTGACAGCAGGTGCGACGAAGGTGCAGATGTCGGAATGTTGTTGGAACGTGGTTAGTCTCATACCGTTCCTCCGCATCTTCCCTTCTACCCTCCCCGTTGTCCTCTCCTCCGCCGCTCCCTCTTCGTCCGTCAACCTACTCCCCATACCTACTGCCCTGCCTCATCTATCCACATATCTTCTCTCCCTACCCTAGTTTCTACCCTCCTGCATCCTCCTCTATTTCATCCCCTCCTCTCGGCCTCCTCCTCCTCCCCCCCTTCTCCTCAACATACTCCTCCGTTTTCCCTTCGTGTTTATCCATGCGACTTGTTCACTAGACACCACTTCCCACACGAAACAACCCCTCCCGCATTCGGGCAGTCACCGACAAGAGACAATGCCGCCCCCCCCCCCCCCCCCACGCACCCCACCATCCACAATACAGAATACAGAGCACGCGTGGCCGCAAACACTGAATCGTGCACGGTCACTCCCCCATCACTTTTCCACTTTGCTTTTGACAGAGATGGCTGGGATGCCCACGTATAGCCCCCCGTGTGACAGCCCACCGCTCATTTTCGAAAACCAGCGCGCGACGCGATGGCAGGTGCGCGCGCACCACGCACCGTGCCAACCACCCCGCCGTTGCTCTTCTCATGCTTCTGTCGCGGACTTGGTGGGCAGCGTGATCACCAAACCAGGCCACGATCCAATCTGCCAGCGTTAAACAGGTCGTCGTTCTTTCATGGAAGGCGCGAGCTCAGAGAACACGCCGACGAGGAGCCGAGATCCGTTCTTGCTCGCCGCGCCGGGTCCCGTACACTCGCTTGCTCCGGGGGTTTCAGGTGCCTGCACTTCGTGGCCCGGGTGCAGCGCCATGGCCCTCCTCTCGTAGACAAGTGCTTCCGCGAGCAAGGGCCAGGATGGGTTCAGAACCAGCCAAGACCCGGAGTTTCCATAGCAGCGTTGCCTCCAAGATCTACACCATGTACACGGTCTGCGAGAGGGCGAATGGGAGGTGGGACTCCGGCTTGTCACGCCATTTCAATCATCCAGGTTCTTGCGACAGGGACATTGCCAACAGCTGGCTCGTGTTGTCCTCGGGGTAGAGATTTTCTTCAGATGTTGGAGCCTCTATGTGTTGGTCGTCTGCTTTTATCGTGGTCGCTTGTATCGTCTCGTCCTGTCCCCTTTTTACCTGTCGCCTCCCCGTTCTTATCTGCCTGCCGCGTTGTCGTCTTTGCGATGTCTGCGGTTTGTTCGTCTTCTTCCCTCAACCTCCTCGCTCTCTATTTGTTGAATCTCTCGGCGATAGTGTGGCTGCATGTCTGGTTATCTCCTGTGGGCCTGGGGTCAAAATGTTGCATGTCTGGTTGTCCTCCGATTGGGGTCTGACTTCTTCTCGGTTGACAAGTCGCCCTCTGGCGCAGCAGGCTTCCTGGCCCCATGGTATCATCGGGGACCGCACTGGGGAACGCCGCCCAACCAACCCATCAATCAGACTGCCCCATCCTCCTAATCATCCTCTTCCTCCCCTCCAAGCCCCCCTCCCTCCCACCACATCCCCCACGCCCCCCCCCTCGCTCCCCTTCCCTCCACCCCCATCCTCCCACGCCCCCCCCCATGGTATCTTGATCGCAGCCGCCGCCACGCCCCCCCCCCCACCCTCCCCCCCCCCCCTCCCCCCGCCCATCCCCGCGCGCGCGGCCGCGCGCCCCCCCCCACCCCCCCCTCCCGACAGACGCCCTGTGCGTGCCGCCCGCGCAGCGGCGCTCCAAGAGCGTCGTGCTCGACGCGGACATGGCGGCGTGGCTGCACAGCGCGGCCGTCGAGGCAATGATCGTCGACGGGCTCCAGGCCGAGGAGGCCGCCGGGAAGAGGAGGAGGAGGAGGACGAGGAGGAGGGGAGTGGGAGGAGGAGGAGGTGGAGGAGGGAGGTGGTGGTGGTGGTGGTGGCTTGTGTAATCATCGGGGTGGGCCGCGGGCACAGCCCCTTCTTAGGGGAGGGGAGGGGAAGGGGAGAAAAGGAGGGGTACGTGTACGACCACGACGGGATATCATCTTGGGGACTTTCCTCCTTCTCTTCCTCCTCCTCCTCCTCCTTTTCCTCATCCCCTTCTTCATCTACCATCCCTCTTCTCATCGTCATCCCCCTCTGCGTTTTTCCAGATTCCGGGTCGCCTGGGCTGCGGACTCCAGGGCCCCTGGAAATGTCATGTTGTTTTGAAAGTTGTCTTGCGGGGGCCCGGATTCTCCAGCATGCTTTGAATTACCCCGGCAAAGCAACCTAATTAACAGCGACGTGTAGGAGCATATTTGGAAGCATTCCCCTTACGATTCAGATGAGAATCCAGTTGTAGAATTCTGCTGTTCTCGCAGTCGTAGTCGCATTCGCGATGACAGTCGCAGTGGCCTGCATCAGCCTCAGCCTCAGCCTCAGCCTGCCTCAGCATCAGCCTCAGCCTCAGCCTCAGCCTCAGCCTCAGCCTCAGCCTCAGCCTCAGCCTCAGCCTGCTTCAGCCTCAGCCTCAGTCTGCCTTCAGCCTCGGCCTCAGCCTCAGCCTGCCTCAGCCTCAGCCTCAGCCTCAGCCTCAGCCTGCCTCAGCATCAGCCTGCCTCAGCCTCAGCCTCAGCCTGCCTCAGCCTCAGCCTCAGCCTGCTTCAGCCTCAGCCTCAGTCTGCCTTCAGCCTCGGCCTCAGCCTCAGCCTGCCTCAGCCTCAGCCTGCATCAGCCTCAGCCTCAGCCTCAGCCTGCCTCAGCATCAGCCTGCCTCAGCCTCAGCCTCAGCCTGCCTCAGCCTCAGCCTCAGCCTGCTTCAGCCTCAGCCTCAGTCTGCCTTCAGCCTCGGCCTCAGCCTCAGCCTGCCTCAGCCTCAGCCTGCATCAGCCTCAGCCTCAGCCTCAGCCTGCCTCAGCATCAGCCTGCCTCAGCCTCAGCCTCAGCCTGCCTCAGCCTCAGCCTCAGCCTGCTTCAGCCTCAGCCTCAGTCTGCCTCAGCCTCAGCCTCAGCATCAGCCTCAGCCTCAGCCTCAGCCTCAGCCTCAGCCTCAGCCTGCAGCCTCAGCCTCAGCCTCGGCCTCAGCCTCAGCCTGCCTCAGCCTCAGCCTGCATCAGCCTCAGCCTCAGCCTCAGCCTGCCTCAGCATCAGCCTGCCTCAGCCTCAGCCTCAGCCTGCCTCAGCCTCAGCCTCAGCCTGCTTCAGCCTCAGCCTCAGTCTGCCTTCAGCCTCGGCCTCAGCCTCAGCCTGCCTCAGCCTCAGCCTGCATCAGCCTCAGCCTCAGCCTCAGCCTGCCTCAGCATCAGCCTGCCTCAGCCTCAGCCTCAGCCTGCCTCAGCCTCAGCCTCAGCCTGCTTCAGCCTCAGCCTCAGTCTGCCTTCAGCCTCGGCCTCAGCCTCAGCCTGCCTCAGCCTCAGCCTGCATCAGCCTCAGCCTCAGCCTCAGCCTGCCTCAGCATCAGCCTGCCTCAGCCTCAGCCTCAGCCTGCCTCAGCCTCAGCCTCAGCCTGCTTCAGCCTCAGCCTCAGTCTGCCTTCAGCCTCGGCCTCAGCCTCAGCCTGCCTCAGCCTCAGCCTGCCTCAGCCTCAGCATCAGCCTGCCTCAGCATTCAAAATGTGGCCCGGGAATGGAATTCTGGGAACTCGAAGAACACGAAGTGGCCGACAGGTGGCTCCGGGCATTCAAAATCATGCCCAGGAATGGAGTTCTAGGAACTCGAAGACCACGAAGTGGCCTACAGTTGGCTCCAGGCATTCAAAAGGTGGCCCGGGAATGGAGTTCTGGGAACTCGAAGACCACGAAGTGGCCTACAGTTGGCTCCGGGCATTCAGAATGTGGCCCGGGAATGGAGTTCTGGGACCTCGAAGACCACGAAGTGTGTAACTGTTTACTTAAAACGACTTCCGCGGTTTCTCCTCCGATCCTGCCCGGACCCCCCTGGGGAGTCAAGATGCTTTCTCTCGACCCCACTAGAAGCCTATCTGTGTTCGCTGTTAGGTAACAAAATGCTAACCAATTCGAAACCCGAACCGGCCACGGAGCACCCACCATGGGGCACGAAGCGCGGGGCGCCACTTGCCAACCGCGGGAGGGCAGGCCACTTCCTGGCGTGTGAGCACTGCTCTGGGAGCCATATATCCCCTCCCCTCCTCACCTCCCGCCCTCCCATTGTTTCCCTGCCTCCGATCAGAGGAGCAAGAACTCATGATACTGATACGTTCCTAGATTCCGAGGTGCTCTTGAGATCCCGCGCGGCCAGAGACGAATGGGCAAGTACGAACGGCCGAGGGCACCCGCGCGAGACGCGCTGGGAAGTGCCCAGCTGTCAGCGCCATCGCGGTTGCGCCGGTCGAGACACACTAGCTGGCCGTTGTGCGCGCGCGCATGCGCGCGCCAGCACGGCGGCAAATATGCACCAGCCAGCACCAAGCACTCATCGCAATCGCCGCCGCACGGGTTCGCAAACCCAAGTTGTGGGTGGGTGGGTGGGAAGATTGCGCGAGCAGTGGAGTTGACAACTCCAAGTTCTGCCAATTAATTAAATTGCACCACGTAGATGTGCCCCACGTAGATTGCACCCAAGATATTGTACAACACGCAAATTGGTCCACATCGTTTGCTCACGACTTATTGCAGCACATCGTGCTGCGCCATATGTACTGGCCTACATCGATGATCCCATGTTACGCCTGACGAATATTTCACGACATCTATAGAACAGCATCAACTATGCGGTACCACACAGATCCCACCATAGTTCACAACGTATTCTGAACCACATGGATTACACCACATATGGTGCATCATAGTGGCACCACATATTTTGCAAATATATTGCACAATCCATATGATGCGCAACTTTGGTTGCACCACATCGATGGCACCACGTAGGTACACTTCATAGATCGTTGGAAAACACAGATTGCGGTCCACACTCTAATATTATATATGAAGGCCCACGAGTCGAGGCGCAACGCGGCCCCGCGAAACGCCGTGAAAGACCCCGCAGGAGGAGCGTGAGGAAGATTGGGGGGGAGGAGGAGGAGGAGGAGGAGGAGGAGGAGGAGGAGGAAGTAGGCATCGAGCGGGCAGACCTTGAGGAGGACGCTTGCTGACGCGCGGGCACTTCACTGCGAGTGGGTGACTTGGGCGGGCGTGGTATCTTGGCGACGTCGACATTGGTAAACATGATGATGATAGCAGCGATGAAGATGACGATGGTGACGATGACGACGGCAAGGCCAATGACGGCGCCCATGCGGATCGCGCCGGCGACGATGGCCCCGCGTCGGTTTGGAAGGGTTGAGACATGAGCGCGCGGCCGACGCGCAGGGTTGCCAGCATTGTCTTATTCGACGGGGACCGTACCTCCTCCTAGCACGCGCGCAAGGGGGTTTGCATGATTCCGACGCGCGCGCGAGAGGCCCAGCGTTTGGGTCGAAGTTGATGAGTTGCTCAAGAACTCGCGCAAGGACACTCGATTTCAAAAGTTGCTTCGACAGCAAGAAGCTTTGGAATGATTGCGGCATGCGCGCGCGAGCGCACTTCGTCCCATTTGTTGCAAGGGGCTGTGCCAAACTGGTGAGTGTTGATGAAAAAGGCGTGCGCGCGAATATCATGGTTTGCAGAGTGGCGGGGGGGTCGATACATGTTGGGTGGATATGGTATAAGTTCATATTCAGGATGGACGACGGGGCAAAGTCATGTGCACATTGCAATACAAAGAAGCAGGCGAGTATTCCCGGGGGCGAAGGTCGATCCCAATTCTCACAAAAGACAAATCACGTGGTGCAAGCTATATGCTGCAAAATACGTGCTGCAATCAACCAGGTGCAATCTACATGGAACAATATAGCGGCGGCGACGGTGCGGCGACGGCGACAACGTAGCCGCCAGACCGACACAGGCCAGTTACGAGCGGCGACGAGGCCGCGACGGGGCGGCGACGGCGACAACATCATTGTCAGACCGACAAACAGACAGGCCCGGCGACTGGCGGCGACGAGGCGGCGACTGGGCGGCGACGGCGACAACATGGCTGCCAGACCGACACACAGGCTTCGTTCTTTGGGAAAGACGTAAGAACCCCTACGTGCAAACACTCTTTGGGGAATAATGCAAAAGTATACATATAGCATGTATAGATACCTGTACGACCACCCTTCGTGTGATGAGGAGGTTTGGGGGGAAAACCACTTGAGGAGAACTGCGATGATTGTGATGGTGGCGATGCCGGTGATGCGATCACGAATTTGCGGCATGATGCAATACGACGATGCTGGCGACAATGCGTGATGGCAATGGGGTCACCGACGGGACACCACAGGACACCGACGAGACACCAACGGGACACCGACAGGACACCGACAGGGCACCAACGGGACAACGACGGGACACCGACGGGACATTCGTCGGCGTATCTCGTTATCGATCACGCAGTCGGTCATACAATCCACCTCACGACCGATTCATCCCATTGTCGGCTTCACTCAATCGCAGTCACTATCTGTACCACTATCGAACTAACTCTCGATCTTACGTCCGATCTCACGATCGAATTCGCCCGAAGCTTCGACTTCGGGTTCCCTCATCCCCGCGCTCGTGGTGCTGTTTAGTTTGCCTCGGGACGCCCTCGGCCACAAGTGACATCGCCTTGTCAGATGTGTGTGTGTGTGTCTGACGGACACCATCGGGACACCACCCGGGACACCAAGTGGGGTAACGACGGGGCGGCATCGGGACACCGACGGGACACCGACGGGACATCATTCGTTCAATATCACAGTCGATCCCGTGGCCGGTGATGTGACATTGGCATACGTTTTGGCGCATCGGGTTCTCTGCGATCCCCCCCCAAGTCTCACTATGGACACCACCACCACCAGGACATCATCGAGACACCATCCAAACACCACCATGACACCATCAGGACACCAATCGGGACAGCAATCGGGACACCATCGGAACACCAATCGGGACACCACCGAGGCATCATCGAAGCACCACCAGGACACCATCAGGACACCAATCGGGACACCAATCGGGGCGCCAATCAGGACATTATCAGGTCACCATCGATCCCATTGTTAGTCTCATTATCGATCTCATGATGGATCTCGCTATCGGACTCACTCGATCGATCCCACCATCGCCTTCACTTGAACGATGTCGCTTGTGATATCACTGTAGATATCACTAGGGATCCCACTATCGATCTTACGATCGATCTCACTATCGGCCTCACTATCGATCTCACGATCGCCCTCACCACGGGACACCACGGGACTCCGACGGGATACCCGCGCGACACCGACGGGACAACATCGGCACACCACCAGGACACCAATCGATCTCAGTTTCGATCTCCGTGTCGATCTCACTCGCATCGGTCACCCACTGTCCCTGAGCGCGTGTCTGAAATAATGGTCTGCGGTGCGGATTGTTGTTGTTGTTATTGGTGGTGGTGGTGGTGGTGATCTTGTTGTGTTTGTCGTTGTTGCTGCAAATGTTGTTGGTGTTGTTGGTGGTGTTGTTGTGTTTGTTGTTGTTGGTGTTAATGTTGTCTGCTCTTTGTTATTCTATGTTTGTTGTTTGTCGTTTGTTGTCGTCGTCTTCCCCGCGACCCAGCCCGCGGCCCACCCGCGACTCACCCGCGACCCACCTGCGACTGGCCCGCGACCAGGCCGCGACCCACCCGCGACCCACCCCGCGACCCACCCGCGACCCACCCGCGCTCACCCGCGTCCCACCCGCGACCCACGCGCGACCCACCCGGTACCCAGCCCGCGACCCACCCGCGACCCACCCGCGACCCACTTGCGACCTGGCCCGAGACCCACCCGCGACCCAGCGACCCACCCCGCAGCCCGCCCGCGATCCACCCGCGACCCACCTGCGGCCCACCCGCGACCTGGCCCGCGACCCACCCCGACACCCACCCACATTGTCTTGACGATAAAATCGGCGCCTGCGGGAAGTTTTCTGTACAATTTGTACACATTAGGCGCCTGCGGCGGGCTTCTTCAGAGCATCGCAGACTGCCCACGTCCCCGCCGCCCCCTTACTCTTATCCGCAAATGTGTGGTGCTACATCTGTGTATAGATATGTATATGTACACGCATAGAAATAATATGTATATATATATATATATATATATATATATATGTTGTGCTGTGTTGTGTGTGTGTCTGTGTGTTAAGTGTGTGTGTGTGTGTGTTTGCGTTTGCGTGTGCGTGTGCGTGTGCGCGTGCGTGTGCGCGTACGTGTGTGTGTGTGAATGTGTGTGGATGTGTGTGAATTGCCAGTTGTACGCTTCTTATCTGCTGTGGGAGGGGTTGGTTCCGAAGGCGTTGTGGTTCATGCCAATGCAACCCGACCAGCTGCCCTGGGCCACCGCCTGTGTGGCCGCGACCGCGTGGTTGCTGCAATCTGTCTGGCCCATCGCGCCTGTGGCGCCGCCGGTGGAGCCACCGGCGCCGTCGCACGAGCAGGCCTGCTCGTGCGACGAGGAGCTGCGCGAGCTCCTGCAGGCGCGCGGGGACCTGGAGTGGTACCGGCTCGCCTGCTTCGCGCTCGCCTGCGCGGGCCTGGTGCTGGGCGTCGCGTCCAGCTGCCTCGCGCTGCTGGCGGCCGGGTGCTGTGGGGCCGGGGGCGGCCGCGCGGCCGCGAAGCCGACCCCTCCGCCAGCCCGGCGGGACGCCCCGGCGGCTGCGGCGACGCCCGCCGTGCTGGCAGCTCTCGCTGCTAGCGAGGTCCGGCGCTGAGGATGGCCATGGCAGGCTTTGGCGGTGCAGAGCGGGCGCTGGCGGTCGAGGAGCCGCAGATCCTGCTGCGGGACGACGCGCACGCGACGCACACGTGGCACCACCTGGTGCTGCTGCGGCGGCTGCGCGAGGCTGTGTGGGTCGCGTGCTTCCCGGACGAAGGGATCGAGAGCATCGACTTGGCTGGGCGGACGCTGCTGACGCTGGCCCCAGGGGCTCGTGTCGGGGACGCCCAGGCGGGCGACGTCAGGATGTGCGACGCGACGTTGCCCGAGCGCCTGGCGTCGCTGCACGCACAGGCGGCACGACTGGCTGCCGTGCTGACTGGAGGTGCGGCCCCGACTGGGGGCACCATCCCCCAGACCAGCTGGCGCGTGGCCGACACCTCAGCGGTCGAGTTCGGCGAGGAGGTGGCGGCCGACGTCGTCGAGGGCATGGCGACGGGGGTGAAGCGAGGTTCAGTCGGGCTGGCGCTGGTGGGCAAGCCGGGGCGCTGGCTGGCCGTCGAGCTCGTGCCGAACAGCGAGATGGGCGCGTGGCTGGTGGACAAGCACTCGGGAGCAGGCCGGGATCCTCGGCTGGCGTCCTCGGCGTCGCACGACGCCGCTGCGGGTGCACAGCCCCTCGGCCTGGCCATGCAGAACTTCAGGCCCGTCGAGCTTGCCCAGATGCCGTCGTGGCCCCACCCGGGGCCACGCGCGGTCGTCGAGCTGCTCCAGGGCATCCACGCGCTGGGACTCACGACGGCGACGTACCACGTGCACTGGGTCCGCGAGTCCGGGGTGCACGCGGAGAGCGCCGTCGCCTGGGAGCACCGGATGCTGCTGCAGATCCTGGGGCTGGCGGTCGGATACGACGGGCTCGACCCCACCAACTGCGGCTCGCTGGAGCTGGCGGCCCGGCGGATCGTGATGATCGAGCGGGCGGTGAAGGTCAACCCGAAGTCCCCATGCTTCGACGGCCTGCACAAGATGATCGAGCACAACCAGGACGAGAAGGGGGGAGTGGCGACGCAGCAGTTCACGACCTACTTTGCGCAGCAGGCCGAGGTCGAGGCCCGCGTCCTCAAGCAGAACAGGCTGCTCCGGGAGGAGCTCGAGGCCAAGCGGAAGGAGAAGGACAAGAAGAAGCATGGCAAGGACGGCGACAACTAGCGCCGTGGTGCGGTCCCGCCGGCGTGGGGTCCCAGCGCCCGGCGGCTCTTTCTCTTCGGGACACGCTACCGTTCCCTGCCCGTTTGGTGGGGGCGGAGACTCCGCTGCCTCGGCAGCCGATCTCGAGGCTGGTGCAGGGCACGTCCTTGCGGGAGCGGCTCCTCGGCGACTACGCCGTGGCCCTCTCCAGCCTGTCTCGGGCGCAGCCGCGACGTCCACTTCTTCATGGGCTTCGTGGCAGCGAACTCGACTTCGAGGCGTGCTCGGCCTGGCAGCGTCGGGCCTTGCAGCGCGCCTCCGCGGCCTTGGATCCTGTGCTTCAGGATCTGCCGCTGGAGAGCGAGTCGGCCGCGCTGTCCGACATCCTCCACTCAGATGACTTGTACACCTTGACTGGCGGTGCCGCGTTGGGCACCTATGATATCTCTCGACTCCGCGTGGCTCGGGGCGACCTGCAGCCGAAGGAAGTATCTTCCATCACTTCGGCGACGGCTGCCGAGTTCATCCTCGACCCAGCCACCCACATTTTGAAGTCGGACGCCGAGCTGGCCTCCGACGTGGACAGCGGAGCGCTTAGAGGCAAGCCGTACTGGGACCCGGTTCTCAAAGGGTCCCGGCACAACATGATTGAGTTTCTGACGGCCTTGTCGGGCAGCGGTCTGCTCACCTGGCGGCGCCGGGTCCACAGTCGGGTCGGGTGCTTCTTCGTCAAGAAGAAGAACAACATGCTCCGGCTGGTGCTCGACGCGCGGTGGACCAACAAGCTCTGCAAGCGACCACCGCTCTCGCGGCTGGCCGTGCCCAGCGCCCTCGCCCGACTTTCGACTTCGCCGGAGGCCGTGGCGATCGAGGGGGCTGAGCTGAAGGCAGCCGGCGTCTCGGTGACGCCGGCCGCGGGCGGCGGCGACACCGAGCTGTGCGGGTTCAGCGTGGACCTGACCGACGGGTTCTACCAGTTCAAGTGCGAGACCATGGCCAGCTACTTCGGCCTGGGCTTCGTCAGCACGGCGGCCGAGATCGCCACCGACTTCGGAACGACTCTCACCGAGGTATATGACGAGCGGGCCGGGGGCCCTTCCCAGGTGGACGCTCACGAACGTCTCGAGGCCTGCTTCCTGGGCATGGCCATGGGCTGGAGCTGGGCGCTCTACTTCTGCAACGAGACGATCAGCGACGTGATGCGGCAGGCGCTCGAGCACCACCTGCTGCCGACGACCTTGGTTGGGGACCGTCAGCGGCCAGCGACTTTGCATCCCTTGGCCCCGGCCATGGCCCCGTACGTCGACAATGTCAACATGGTGGCGATGGGGGTTCAGAAAGGGCGCGAGGTGTTCAGCACGGTGCTCCGGCTTCTGGCAGAGCGGGGCCTCGTCCTCCGCGACCACGTTGACGGCGAGCGGGACTTCGAGTTCCTCGGCATGGTCCTTGATGGCGACCGCCGCCGCCTGCGCCACACCGCGCGACGGTCGTGGCGATTGTGGCTCGCGCTGGGACGGCTGCTTCGCTTGGGGCGCTGTTCTGGCGACGCACTTCGTGTTGTTCTGGGGCACCTGTGTCATCACTTTGGGCTTCGTCCTACGGGACTCAGCTGCTTGCAGTTCGCGTACCGATTTGCCTTCGATCACGGGGGGAACGTGCGTCCGCTCTCGTCGACTGTGTGGGACGAGCTGTGGATCTGCCGCTCACTCGTGCTGACGGTGGACGTCGACCTGAATCGCAGTTTCTCTAGACACCTGTTCTGCTCGGACTCTTCTGGCGACGGCTACGCCCTCCACGAGGCCCCAGCAGCGCCTCGGGAGGTAGCGGGGCTCGCGCGCTGGAAGGAGCGCTGGAGGTTCCGCGAGGTTCTGCAGCCTGGCGGGGTGTCGGCCGGCGGCGAGGCCCCCAGTGAGCCCGCCGCAGGGTGGGCCGGCATCGGCTCGGCTTGGGCGGACGGGATGCTTGGCCCCGCGGCCCCAGATCAGCGGCCTGCGGCTGCCGACCTGATGTGCGTGGAGCGGCAGCCGAGGGTGATGTCCTTCAGCAAGACGGGCATCCCGGCCGTACCGCAGACGGTCACGCACCCAGGGCGCTGGCGGCTGGTGGTGGCCGGGGCGTGGTCTGGGAGCAGCACAAGGCTTCCGATCCACATCCTCGAGTGCCGGACCTCGCTGATGGGGCTGCGACGCGCGGCTGTCTGTCGGGCGGCCGAGGACTCGATCGTGGTCTCGCTTGGTGACAACATGGCGGACGTGCTGGCCACCGAAAGGGGCCGAGCCTCCGACTTCGGCCTGAACGCTCTTTGCCGACAGTCGTGTGCGTGGCAGTGGGCGGCGGGCGTTGACTGGAGGCGACGGCACGTGGAGTCGGCGCGGCGTGTGTCCGACTTTGACTCCCGCCGCGCCAACCGGGGCGAGCTCATGCCAGGCGAGACCTTCGTGCCGAGCGGGCCACAGCGACAGCGGGCGCGGCAGCGCTGCGCCGCCGTAGCGAGTTTGCTGCTGAGGCGGACCGAGGACTGTCAGGATCGCTCGGGGAAGTTTTCCGCTTGTGGCGCGGACGCGGTCTCCTCGGGAGTTGCCGGTGAGACTCGTCCCGGCCATGCGGCGGAGCGCCAGGCTCCCGCGGCTGCGCGGCCTAGGAGGCGCTTCTTTCTCGAGCTGTTCGCTGGTCACGGGCATCTCAGCGGCGCCGTGCTACACACCGGGCTCGAGGTCGCAGCCCCGTTTGAGAAAAAGAACGGTGCCCACCTCGACCTTCTCGACCCGCGCGTCATCAGCCTGGTCCTCCAGTGGATTGCCCAGGGGCGTGTCTGGTGGATCCACTTTGGGACTCCCTGCGCTTGGGCTTCGCGGGCGAGGTCTACGGGGTCATCGCAGTCTGCAGCGGCCGTCTCGGGGCGCGAGTGCGCAGAGGTCACCGTGAGGTTCCTGAAGGCCATCAAGAGAGCCCTCAACAAGCACCTCACCTACATCACACTCGAGAACCCTGCTACTTCGGCCCTCTGGGAGTGGGAGCCCCTTAGTCAGGCCCTGTCGTCGCTGGAGGCCAAGTTCGTTGATTTCGACATGTGTAGGTTCGGCACGCCGTATCGGAAGGCCACCCGCTTCGCTTTCACGCAACCGCGTCTTGAGGAGTATATCCAGCTTCGGTGTTCGTGTTCTGGGCCTCACCTCATCTTGCAAGGAAAGGTAACGATCCCAAACGACAACGGATTCCGCAGTGTGTGGCTCACCGAGCTCGCGGGCAAGTACCCGCCGCGCCTGTGCCGGGCGGTGGCGCACTGCGCCCAGCTGGCCGCTCCCCCAGGCGCGGCGCTTGGCCATGGCGTCCCTGCCTGGAGGTGGACCGCCCTGGAGGCCTCCAGTCGCTCTCGGAGGGCGCTTGCCGGGGTTTGCGCGCCTCGATGCCCGTGCCGAATGGTCTTTGGGTGGGAGCACGCCGTGGGCAGCTGGGGCGTCAGTTGTCCCGCCAACTGGCGACACATCGGCCCCGGATGTCTCAACCCAGGCTTCCCGGGAGGCCAAGAGGGCGCGGACAGCCGACACCGAGCCAGACCCTCCCCCGCGACGGCGACCAGCGGTGGCACCAGCAGCGGACCAGGCGCCGACCCCGGACGCTCTAGTGCTGGCCGCGACCCAGCCAGACGGGGAGGCTCCGACGCCGCTGCGCCGCCCCGCGACCGCCCTCGCGACGCCCGCGCGGCGCCCAGCGGCGGCCGCGCCGGCCCAGCGCGAGGAGCGGGCCGCCCGCAGGGCGAGTGCGGCGGCGAGCGCGGTGGCTGCCGCGGCGCCGGCCCTCACGGACCTGACGCAGGTCGAGGCGCAGTCCGTGTCGGAGGAGACCCGCCGGACCTACGCCAAGGCATACAACGCGTTCGAGCTCCACGCGGTCCAGCACGGCCTGCAGCTGCACAGGATGAGCACAAACACCCTCGACGAGGCGGCGGCGCAGTACATCAACGACGAAATGTACCTGAAAGGGCTCGACGTCTCCGCGCCCCGCAACCTGCGGTGCGCGATCATCTTCGTGAAGGCGCTGCCCAAGGGGTCGCTTCCGCGCTGCCAGCGGGCCATCAAAGGTTTCCTCAAGGACGACCCGCCCCGGTCGGAGGATCCGTGCCCGATCGAGGCCGCCGCCATCTTGGCCTTCGACCTCTTGGGGCAGCCGACGGTCACGGCGGCCGCCGCCGGGCTCGCCTTTCTCACGCAGTACGACACGTTCGCGCGGCCCTCGGAGATCTTGAACCTGAAGAAGGAAGACGTCATCGTGCCGAGCGCCGCCAACTACAAGCAGACCTGCATCATCGTGGCCCCGCAGACGGCCAAAGGCAGCTCGACGCCGGCGAAGCCGGCAAAGTCAGGCGAGTTCGACGACACCGTCGTCGTGGGGCTCGAAGGGCTCGGGCTGCCGTTCGTCCCTCAGCTGCTGCAGTCCCTCAGAAGCCAGGCGCCCAAAGGCTCGAAGCTCCTGGCCCCGCTGACGCTGCCTCGCTACGAGAAGGAGATCAAAGATGCGGCAGTGCGCTGCCGCCTGACCGACCTGAACATCACGCCGCACTCAGCCCGCCACGGTGGGCCGTCCACGGCCGCCCACCGGAAGTTGCTCAGCCTGGCAGAGATCAAGAAGAGGGGACGTTGGCTCACGTCCAAGTCGGTGGCCCGCTACGAGAAGACCGGAAAGCTCCTCCGCCAGGTCGCCGTCATGGGAACCAGGGACGTCGCTCGCGGCTTGCAGCTCCTGGAAGGCAAGCGCGGCCCAGCCTCCTCAGAGCTGGCAGCTCGCGCGCTGCTGGTGGCCAAGAATATCCACCGGCTGCGCCGAGGCGTGCCGGTGCGCGCCTGAGCACACCTGATAGGCAGAGACCTGCTCAGAGCAGATAAATCAGTCTTGAGGCATTGGCAAGTTGTAAGAGTTTCCCGAACCCGCCCACCCTTCTTGTACAAGACCAAGATCTGGGATATTGGAAATTTGGCCGTATGATGTCTCGACATTTTGCTCTTGGGATCCTCGCCGGCTCCAGGCCTTGTGTCCAGCTCAGATCTCTTTCAGCAGCCTCGCTCGAGGCTGACAGTGAGTCACGAGAAATATGATATGTGAGTGAGTCGAGCCGTTGGCCCTTCCTCTCTCTCTGCCCTCGGCCCTCGTGGGGCCGCCGCTTTGTCCCGGGGACCCCCGGTGCTCGCACCGGTGGGTGGCGGGCCCTTGCGGGGCTCGTGGGCCTCCGGGGGTTTGCCTTTCGTCCCCTTCTCTCTCTCCCTCTTGCCTGGCGGCTCCCGTAATGTCCCCGCTAACGGTACAGATAATTGCCAGTTGTACGCTTCTTATCTGCTGTGGGAGGGGTTGGTTCCGAAGGCGCCCAGCCCGCCCTCCCTCTTTTTTATGTTCCGAGTTTCGATTCCGTTCGACTCGAGCGTGCTCGAGGCCGTATGATGTCTCGACATTTTGCTCTTGGGATCCTCGCCGGCTCCAGGCCTTGTGTCCAGCTCAGATCTCTTTCAGCAGCCTCGCTCGAGGCTGACAGTGAGTCACGAGAAATATGATATGTGAGTGAGTCGAGCCGTTGGCCCTTCCTCTCTCTCTGCCCTCGGCCCTCGTGGGGCCGCCGCTTTGTCCCGGGGACCCCCGGTGCTCGCACCGGTGGGTGGCGGGCCCTTGCGGGGCTCGTGGGCCTCCGGGGGTTTGCCTTTCGTCCCCTTCTCTCTCTCCCTCTTGCCTGGCGGCTCCCGTAATGTCCCCGCTAACGGTACAGATAATGTGTGTGTGTGTTGTGTGTGGTGTCTGTGTGTGTGTTGTCTGTGTGTGCGTTTGTGGATGTGTGTGCTGTGTGTGTGTGTGTTTGTGTGCGGTGTGTGGTGTGTAGTGTCTGTGTGTTGTGTCTGTGTGAATGTGTTATATGTGCGTGTGTGTGTGTGTGTGCCATCTTCGCCCCTGGACCCCCCTCCAGGCTGGCATGGCATCCTTGGCGGTGTCTGGAGGCCCAGAGGTGCCACGAATGTCCAACGTGCTCCCTTGACCCTCGAGGAAAAAGAGGAGGAGCAGGAGGAGGAACAGGAGGAGGAGGAGCACGAGGAGGAGGAGGAGGAGGAGCACGAGGAGGAGGACGCGGGGGGGGGTATGGTTCGGGACATGCTCTGGCCGGGAGTTCTCACTGCAGGCTGGAGCGATAAAGGCTGGCTCGCTCCTCGCCAACCGCACCCGATAGGAGATCCAGAACGGGGCTTCATTACAAGTGCTGCTCATTTACATTGAACGTGCGAGTCGCAAAAGCAGAGGAGGAGGAGGAGGAGGAGGAGGAGGAGGAGAAGAACGCCCTGAAGGCTGAGTCCTCGAGCGCGCCCTCGAGCAGACTGAGCAGGCCCTCGAGGAGACCCTCGAGCTCGTTCTGCGGGATGGGGTCCATCGTTCCGCCCTCGAGCTCCAGCAGGCAGCCATCCACCCCGCACCGATCCTTCGATCGCCGCCGTCGTCGCCGCTCGTGCCAGGCCCACCCCGACGCGAGGATGGGTTCGTGAGCCCCCTCTCCTTGGGCCAAGGAGGGTCCATCCCGGCATCCAGAGAGGCCCCAGAGGCCCCCGAAGCGAAGGCGCCGACGTCGACGTCGAGGACGACCCCAGGCTCCTGGGAGAGATTGGCAAGAACCTGTGCGTGCGCAGAGCCATCCGCCTTGTATCGCTCGGACTTGTGCATGTTTTTCTCGGCGAGGGCCCTGGAAGAGCATCCTGGATCATCGAGCAAGCAAAAACACGCACGAAACCGGCAAATGCACAGGGAATGGACGTCCGAGCGATGGCAAGTCCGGGGTTTGCCAGAAGTGCCCCTGGCCAAGAGTGCCCCCGGCGGCTCGCGCGGTTCCGGCGCCCCCTGGGGGCCCTCCCCGCCGTCTGGCGCTCGGGCCACGGCTTGGGGGCCTCCGGCTCCCGATCGGGGCGAGCGGAGAGCAGCCGCGGAGCGCCCGATCGAAGCGAGGCGCGCGTCGCTGCTGGACAGCACGCCCCGAGGCTAAGGGAGGCCGCCGAGGAGACGGGCGAGGGCGCCCAGGAGCCTCGGAGCCCCTGGCTCATCACGAGGGTGGCTCGTTTGCCCTCCACCCTCTTAGGATGCAAGCCCTGGGAGGTTGACTTTAGCGTTGTGGAGGACGATCAATGGAGAGGAAACATGTTGCCAAATCATTTCCAGGTGTCTAACACATGTGTTAAACATGCTTTAAGCATGTACATATCAGGTTTTAAACATGTTTAGAACATTTGTTCTGACAGCTTAACACATTTCAAATTCAATGATAGGACTGTAAGGGTGTCCATTGTCGTGGCATCCGCAACTTTAGAGTCTGAGCTGGCATAATTATCCGAAGTCAGATACTTGCCCAATCCAGCACAATTCCATGTAGCCTGGCCCAGTCCCGCTGAGTCCGGCCCCATCTTGGTCCAATCCGGCCGATTGGTCCCGCAGTCGGGCTGAATAGTCCTCCCCAGAGTTGCTGCGGAGAGGCAGACAGCCCTTCAGAGACCCCCTGGGCGCGCCCAACCCAAAGGACAGCCAGACGGCCCAAGATGGGACCGAGAGGCCTTCATCCAAAGTGGCCGGAGAGGCCCCAAGAGTGCCCCAACGGGCTCCACGAGAGGTCCAAGAGAAGCCCGAAAATGCGAACATCTTTCGAATCCATTCGGTTGTTGCAGGTTTTTCGCATCCTCGGGCATTCGGCTCAACATGATTCGAAAAGGGCTTCGGGATGATCCCAGACGGCTCCAGAGGGCCCTGGGGACGGGCCAAGTGAGCCCAAGAGGACCTCGGGAGGGCTTCCGGAGAGGTCCCGCACGGCGCCCAGAGGCGTCAAGAAGTCTCCCGTGCGAAGGCGTGCTCCAGCGGAGGGCAGCATGGCGGCCAGCGGACGCCCGCTCTGTAGCTGGGGCCCTGGGCCGGCGTAGTGAGCAGGCCGCGGGGGGGACCCCAGGAGAGGTTGCGAGGGCTCTTTGGAAAGGGAGGGATACTAGGAGTGCGTGGGTGAGACGACTGAGGGGAAACAGCCCTTGCAGGCAATGCGGCGGAGATCTCCCACGCCGTACCGGGTGGGGCGGCGGATCACTTCGCTCAATCCACTGGCCCATCCTCTGCCTAGTGGCCGTCGACCAGACCTGGGTCGTGCACAAGAAGCTTTGTTAGGAGGCCCGTTGGGGTCTCTCGGGAGGTCGCTCGGGGGCCTCGCGGCGGCATTTTGGAGCCTCCTGGGGGCCTCTTAGGGCTCCTCAGGGGTGTCTTAGGGGGCATCTGGGGGCCTCTTCTTGGGGCCCCGTGGGGGCTTGCTGGCGGTCTAGGGGCCATCTTCGGTGGAAAGGCCTCCAAATGATAGTTCGGATTCACCTCTTGGGGCCTTCTTGAGGGCCCCTGGAGCCCCCATTGAGGGGCATCTTGGGCGATCTTAGGGTCTCTTGGGCCTTTTGAAAGCCTCTTGGGCTGTCTCGGGGCGATATAGGGGGCCTCCTTGGCCGTCTCGGACCATCTTGGGTTCTCTTGGAGGTTCCATGGGGCGATCCTGGAGCGCGCTGGGGGGCCTGGAAGGTCGACCCATGAGCAAATCTATGATTTCTGACACGAGTCGGGCGATGAGTGGGCAGGGTACCTTTTGCCCGTGGACCCCCGCCGGGAGGCCCCCCGCGCGCGGGAGCCGGAAGTGTTCGAAACCTGTTGCTAGAGATCTTGGCACGCCTCTGGCGAGCTGGCGAATCATGTGTTCCAGGGCGGGGTAACTACAGTCGGACCGTGGGATTTGATCGAGGTCGGCTCGGGGAGGGTGCCCCGATGTTGCTCGTGCTTGTTGGATGTTTTTTGTGCATCCTGGGGAGGGCACCCTTGCATGTTCCGTGTGTGGTTTGGCTGGCGGAGGATCTCCTCACGTTCTCGAAGGATGTTCTTCTGCCCTAGGTCCGACCACAGTCGGGGCGCTGAAGAAGGAACCCTTTTCGTTGGGGAGGGGCTCCGATTCCTCGATTGTTTCACAGCTTGCCTTAGGTTTTCCTTTGGTTTTCGATGGGAAATCGAACTTGAATTGCGAAATTGCGTAAAAAAGCACAAACCTTGCTGAGAATTAGCACCAAAACCCAATTTAATGGGAAAAAAAGGGCCTCGTTCCTTATTTTGGGTTCCTTAGGTCAACGACCCGACTGTATGACGCCCGGCAGCGCCCGATCTCCCCTCAGTCAATGGCATAAAAAAACGCCCCTACCCCTGGTTTACGAGGCGCTGTGCGCTGAAACTCCCGTGGGCTGACGGGGTAATGTCTGCGTGATGTGCCGCGCCCTGGCGGCTCTAGGCTCCTGGGGTTCCCAGGAGGTTTACAGACCACGCGCTTGCAACCCAGGGTAGGGTCGTTTTTTCATCCCCCAGCTCAGGCAGCAGTCGCTTGCGCCCGTCGACGTCCGGCGCTCCGTCGCGAGCGTGCGGCGCTCCCTCAGCGCCGCCAGCAGCTCCCTGCGGGTCGACCATCGGAGGGGCTCGATGTGTGCACGGCGTGCTTCAGGAGGGGAAAAGACACACTGACACAATTAATCTGCGATTCCCCAGAAAATATGGGAAAATATGGGAAGTGGAGGGGAAGACAGAAACCCAGAAAGTATGGGAAACTATGGGGAATATTTTTATTTGTGGGTACTTATTTGTGTGTCCCAGGGCCCCTTCAGTGCTGTCTGGTCTTGGAGTTGGCTGGGGGTCTGTCGAACGGGGCGAGGACGAGGATATAAATCCGCTCCAGAGCATTCGGGGACGCTCTCAGAGCGTTCCAGGACACTCTGAGAAGGCCGCGGCGCCCGATGCCCACGCCAGAGCGGCTGGATCTCAGATGGCCTCGATTCATCTTCACCCGATCCTGGCCTCGTCCTGGCTTCGTCTTAGTCTGAGGCGGCCCAGCACTGGTTCCGGCCCCAGCAGGAAGGGGGAGGCAGGTTCGAGATGATTTCTGGGTTCGGGGAAGTGTTTTTCCAATTGTTCTGCCTCTGGGTGCCGTGTTCGGGGCCCAGGACTGTCAAGGGCGGATCCTGAGTGAAACATTGCACCAGATGGACCCTGGGAGGGGTCTGGAAATTGATTTTGAGCGGAGTTGTCTTCACCCCTCCCCTCCTGACCGATTTTTCCCGGGCCCCAGCCGGTTCAGACTCCTGGGGCGCCTCCAAGTCTGGTCAGCCAAGGAGCCGAGGACTTCAGCGGAGGACCTGGGTGCATAGTTCGATCGCCATGTTGAATCAGCTATAAGTCAGTTGTGCGTTGCGCAGGCCCTGGAAAACCTGGAAGGTTACATTGTGACGAAATGTGGGCGGACTGTAGAATCCTGCCAGGCCGTAGTACGACCTTCCTGGTCGAACCTGCAAGGTCGTGGTAAGACCTTCCAGTGCTTTGAGACTTCGCGACGTGGCTGCTTTGTTATGGCCGTCGGATTATTCGCTCTGGCGCCCCACAGCTTGGAAGGCTGAGGCGTCCGTACGCCGAGCTCTGTGGCCGACCAGACGACTTGGTGTCAGAGTGAGGGGGCTGAACGGTCTTACCCCGTCCCCAGATATGTGGCTGAAGCGTGATTCTGGGGCGCGAGTTTGCTGTGTTCGTTGTTGGCGTTGAATCTCAAGTACTAAGCAATCTTCATTGTTGGACCCCCTGAATCCGCTTTGGCACTCTCGCCTCGGCGCCAGCTGGAGTTCCTCTGAAGTCGAGGCTCACGCTCAGGCGTTTCGGGGGTGCGCCGAAGCCGGCCCCCCAACCAACAACGCTCCCGCTCGAGACGTCCTCCTTCTCTGCTCGGGGCCGGGGCTCTTGCTCGCCGTCGGAAGCTGGCTTTCCCGCAAAACCGGCGCTCCCGCTCCATACCTCTGTGTTTTATGCTCAGGGCCGGCGCTCCCGCCTCGGCGCCACGAGCGGCCCCCCCTGCAAAGTACTTCCTCCTCCTCCGCTTTTACTCAACACTCTCAGCAGCCCTGAGGCTTCCCTGGTCCACGTTGAACCTTAACTGTACGATGTTCCGACCTACTTTAGCCCTGAGCACCAGATAGAATTTCGAGCACGAAGAAAGTACCGAAACTGGAAGGCTTTCGCGTGTCGGGCCCTCCGATGCGATACTCGTTCGACATTGTTTCGATACTTGTATGGGTGCTCGAAATGATTTTGGGGGTGTGGCCCTTAAGGACGATGGGAGCAACATAACCTTACCTGTTAGAGCAATACTACTGTGGCACACCCGACATCACAATACTATCGTGGGACACCCGACGTCCGCACTGGCGCTCTCGCCGCGGCGCCAGCTGCATTTCCTTGAAAATGAGGCTCACGCTCAGACGTCTTGGGGTCGCGCCGAAACCAGCCCCCCAACAACAACACGCTTCCGCTCGATACGTCCTCCTTCTCTACTCGGGACCAGGGCTATTGCTCGCCGTAGCAAGCTGGCTTTCCAACAAAACTGGCGTTCCCGCTCGGTTCTTTTTTGTTTGTTACTCAGGACTGGCGCTCCCGCATCGGCGCCGCAGACGCCCCCCCTGCAAACAACGACGCTCCCCCTCGATGCCCCCTCGATGCCTCCTCCGCTTAAGTTTTCGTTCGCTCGAGATTTCATTGCCATTTATCTAGACATCGCTCTCTCGCTCGATATTTCTTCAACTTAACTCACGAATATGTATCTCTGCGTTCTGAAATCGCGCTCCAGCGCGGGACTTCCTCATACTCTACTCAGGAACCGCACTCTCGCGCGAGATTTCCTTGTCGTCTCCTCTTGCTACTCCTTCTTGCTAATCCCTCTCGTCCTCCATAGCCCTCTCTCCCTCTTGCTCCCTTGCCTCCTTCCTCCAGTCCTCCTTGTCCCTCCCTTTTCCAGTATTTTTATATTCGCTCCTTTGAGCGCTGCGTCAATTACACGTGGAGGGTAAGGACTAGATACACGCCCAAGGATAGCCGAGTGCGGGCGATAGTAAAGGTCCCCCCCCCTTCACCCCCTCTATTCTTATTGTCCCCGTTCAACAGGATTTAATTGTGGAGAGGGGCGCGGAGGCCGAACTTTATAACCCACCAGGTCAATTGCGAATCGAAGTTGCTATCATCTCAGTCTTGTTCCGAGCGCCTGCTGGCAAGTTGTAGCCACGAGCATCGAGATCTCTCGAGTCAGTCTTGTGCCGAGCGCCCAGGATCACCATCATGATGATCATCGTCATCGTCATCATCCATAGAACTTCAGCTTCCCTGGGAAAATCGTTGATTATCCCCGCCAGACCGCCGAACTCTATTATCTCCCGGGTATTATTATCGCCCGCGCTGGGGTATACCCGCCAGAGGGGGCACGGTCAAAGACGAAGAGGGTGGGTATCGAGGGTTTGGGAGATGCGTGTTGGATGACACGCGAGCGCCGGAAGCGAACATTCTTAGATTCAGCTTCGTTGCCGAATTCTCACCTTTCATTAATGATTGTTGTTGGTCCTTCCCCCGTGGTGCCCATTGTGTTGTTTCAATTGAGGTGCCCCCCCTGGGGCTTGCACCTTGTTTTGTACAAGGGAGAATTGCGCCTCTCACTGCGTTGTTGGCCGCCGGCTTACAACAACAGCGGCACCCGCCTGATAAATGTTTAAAAGTGATTCCGAATCGCGCTCTCGGCCGGGACCTCGTCACAACTTATATGCAGGAGTCGCGCTCTCGCGTGGGGTTCCCTAGCAATGTATGTAGACGCCGCGCCCTCAACACTCAGGAATCAGGCTCTCGCTGTGGACTTCCTCACGATGTACTTGGGAATCGCGCTATCACTCGAAATTTCCTCGTGATTCATGCAGGACTGACGCTTCAGCGACCCGCGCGCTTGACCTGGCCGTCTGGGCCCGCCCGCCCGCCCCGCCCTTTAGGGTCGTCCGCTCAACCGACTTGCCCGTGTGGTTCTGCCGCTTGTTCTCCCATTTCTCACCCGCTCATGCTAACCTCCGCGCCATCTTTCTCCTTTCCCCTTGCCCCTTCCCTCATCACTTCCTGCCCGTGTTGTAGGGGCTGCGCCAACTACACGTGTCAGGGAAGGAAGATTATACCCACATTGGGGACACGATCGAAGACGAACAGGGCGAGCATCGACGGTTTGGAACGTACATTGATTGGCACGCGAGCAGACACGAGCGAGCACTCTTATAATGGTTGTTGTTGCTGCTGCTGCTGCTGCTGTTGTTGTTGTTGTTGTTGTTGTTGTTGTTGTTGTCATCGTCCCCCCCGCGACCGCCTCGCGACCCACCCGCGACCCGCCCCGCCGCGACCCACCCCGCCGCGACCCACCCGCGAGCCACCGCGCGGGCCACTCGCGACACACCCCGCGCCCGCCCCCTCACCCCTACAGTCGGCCCGGTGCCTCCTGCATTCCTGTGTCCGTGTGCCCCTCGGGAGGGGGTCTTGCGTCTTCTCGCGCGTCCTCTCCAATCGAGTCCGACTGTACCCGCAACTGCGCCTACTTCGAGCGCCTCCCGAGCACGCTGCCCCGCACGAGCTCGCCCTGGACGCCCGGCGCTCCGTGAGCGTGCGGCACTCCGTGAGCGACGCCCGCGGCTCCCTGCGCAGCGGGCACGCGGAGCTCCGGGGGCTCCCCGCGGACCGGCGCTCCGTGAGCCTCCCCGCGGCGGCAGCGGAGCCTCCGTCGCGGGCCGTCGACTAGGGCCCTGCGGCGGGGGGGGAGGGCGGAGAAGCAGGGAGGAGGGCGAGGAGGAGAGGGGGAGGAGCGGAGGAGGAGGATGAGGAGAAGAGTTCGAAAGGACAGAGAAGAGGAGGAGGAGGAGGAGGAGGAGGAGGAGGAGGAGGCGAAGGAGGAGGAGGAGGCGGGAGGAGGCGGAGGAGACGGAGGAGGAGGAGGGAGGAGGAGGAGGAGGAGGAGGAGGAGGAGAGGAGGGGAGCCAGCACGAGAACGCAGAGGTGGACGGGAGGGCTGGTGTGGAGAGGTATGGAGGAGGGGGCAGAGGAGATAGCCAGGATGAGGAGGAGCAGGAGGAGATAGCCAGGAGCAGGAGGAGGAGGAGGAGGAGGAGGAGATAGCCAGGAGCAGGAGGAGATAGCCAGGAGGAGGAGGAGGAGGAGGAGCAGGAGGAGAAGGACAGCGTCATGTGTGACGATGGCCAGATTTTCGGAAGGACGAGAAAGAGGAGCAGTAGGAGGAGTGATTACAACGAGCAGGAGCCTCGAGATCCAGGAAGAGCAGCAGCAGGAGGAGCAGGAGGAGGAGGAGGAGAAGGAGGAAGAGGAGGAGGAGGAGGAGGAGGAGGAGGAGGAGCAGGAGGAGCTACTCCTGCTACTTGATAGTCAGCGGCAACGCAGAGGTACCTGGAGCCACCTCCTCAAGCAGGATTTTACCTTTCTCAGAAAGCACTTCCCACAAGACAGATGGGCGAGCAAGAACCAGCAAGACAGCGACATCATAAACTGGGCCCGCCAGGAGCCCAAGCACGAGAGACCAGGCTCAGCCTGCGAAGTTCCAGAAGGCCATCCCGATGCCGCCGATCCCATCGAGTACCATCGAGATCGACCAGTCCGACGACGGCGCCAATACCAAGTGCGTCTGCTACATCTGCGGCCGCACAGCCGCCAAGCAGGGCATGGCAGTGCATATGGGAAGAGACCACCCCGATTGCGAGAACCCTCGACGATGGGCAACGGGCACGGCGTGCAGATGCTGCCAGACGGAGTTCCATACCCTACCGAGACTCCTGAAGCACCTGGCTGTAGCCCACCGATGCCGCATATCCTGGTACGCCTTGCACACCATGATGATGGAACCGCTGACCGAGCCTAGCGACCTTCAGCGAGATACCCGCCTACAAGATCGATATCACGCCGCTCCCACTCTTGGAGACATCGCCTGCCCTTCCGAAGGTCTACGCCGCCATCCAATCCACGACGCATCAACCTACTGTACCAGAGCCACCTGTACCAGCTGAACGACAGGAAGTCGTATTCATCACGGACCGCCCTCGGCAACCAGGCGACCTCCAACAGATCATGGCCACCAGCACGGTCACCAGCGCGAGTGGACTGGATTACAGCACGATCGACCCCGACAACGACCACCAAGCACAGACATCGGATCACGGCTTACAGTTCATCCGCGACAGGATCATGAGAGGAGAGATCGCCGCCATATACGCCGAGATACCGAGAAGAACTCGGGTCCGCCACGATAACGCCGAGGCCATTGCCAACCACCCCAGCAGCCGCCGCTTTAAGGAAACATCATGGGGATCACCCGATGCCACAGGAAAGATCGCCAACGAGCTTTACTCAGCCTCAGCCAACTCCGTCACAAGAGAAGTCATCACTACCATACACGCTGCCGCCGAAGCGAAGGTACCTTTCCTCGCCGTCCACGCCGAGGACTATCTTCTGGAAGCTTCCCGAGAGCCACCACATCATCAATCACACGGCAGCTACGGGCAGCACGGCCAACCACTACGAGCTTGGGACCATCAAGATAGTTTATAACTCAGCATATCCCACACACGAAACCAAGCTGACAGAGACCGCCGCTGATGATTTCGAATTCACCGCAGCCGCCCAGCTCGTCGAGATGATCATAGCGAGATTGGGCTTTCGACTAGCCAGCGCCGCACCAACCAACGCCATGGACACCAGCTACGACAGGTACCTCAACCACGACCAGCATTGGGACATCTCCAGTGGCGACAACAGCGAATGCACCGCCAGCAGCCACACCGCCGCCAACTACAGCCGTAGCTACCACAAGCACGGCTACGAGACGCCACGCTGCGGAGCGGGCTTTAGTACGGAAGCAATCGCAGACACCACGGAGCACGGTCTGACACCAGGTGTTCGAGCGCAGGGTCCCAGTGTGCCAACAGGGCTATTGGGCACTACGTCGCCATGTGTGCTGGCAGGCGTTGGAGCGCAAAGCCCTGGTGTACCATTGCGGCTACTAGGCAACATGCCGCCACGTGAGCACGGGGGTCCAGCGACCGATCGGCATCCAGCACGGACGGGAAGATCAAGTGTTCGAGGGCACAATGCCCGAGGGCTAAACGACCACAGGCCCTATCGAATGGCACCGCAGAAGGCGAGCGACAGCGACAATGCGCACACGCATCTGCACGGCAGTCCGCAGCCAGGAGGCCGAAGGGCGGGCTGCCAGCAGGAGAAGTATGTCATGGCGCGCCGCTCGGCTCGGAGTGGGGCGTGCGGGCGACGGGCGGGCCAGAGACGCCCGCGAATGCTGGCACGGACGGCTCTGCCAACTTCTGCGGTCTTCTGTGTGCGCGTGCAGTCTTGGGCGGGGCAGGAGGCCGAGCCGATCCCCGACGATGGCGGGCGGCCTCGGCACTGGCTGCTGAAGGGAGCCGCCGCGCGTCGGCGCACAGAGCCCGCGCGAGCATCACGCCGTTCGAGCACGGCCGGGCCGCTGTCCGAGGTTCGGCGTGCATCTGCGGAGGAGCCGGCAGGAGAGTCAGCCAGGGCATTGCACAGAGTGAGCACGAGGATGAGGAGGAGGAGGAGGAGGAGGGCGACGATCAGGAGGAGAAGGACAGACGGATGCGGAGGAGGAGCGGGAAAAGGAAGGGGAGGGGAACAGAGTCGCAAGAGGAGCAGGAAGAGGAGGGACCAGAAACAATGAGACGAAGGAGGATGAGGATGAGGAGGAGGATGAGGAGGAGGACGAGGAGGAGGAGGAGGAGGAGGAGGAGGAGGAGGAGGAGCAGCAGGACGACGACGACGATGCGGAAGAGGGGACGAGGGGATGACGAGCAGGAGGAGGAGGAGCAGGAGGAAGAACAATAATAAGAGGAGGAGGAGGAGGAGGAGGAGGACAAGTACCGGGAGGAGCAGGAGAGGGTGGAGGAGGAGTTGGATGAGAAGAGAAGGAAGAAGGAGGGAGGAGGGAGGAGGGAAGAAGGAGCAGGAAGGAGTGCAGGAGGACGGGGGGGGGACTTCCACTTGTCGGCTCCCGGCCCGCGCTCCTGTGGCCGGTGGAGCCCCAGCTGCTGGTCTCACGAATGCTGCCACGCGACGGCCGCCGCTCTGAGGCGAGACAAGGCACCTGCTGCTGGCGGGGGGGTGAAGCAGGAGCGGGAGCAGGAGCGGGAGCGCGAGCAGGAGCGGGGAGGGCGATGGAGGGGAGGGGGAGGGGAGGAGGGGAGGGCAGGGCCATGGGAGCGGGGTCGGGGACCCGCAGGCGGAGGAGGAGGAGGAGGAGGAGGAGAGGAGGAGGAGGAGGAGGAGGAGGAGGAGGAGGACCAGTGTAAACGCTTGTCTGGATTCTTTTTCCCAACAATCCTGTGGTGTTGGGTCCCCGTTTTGAGGAGACGGTCTCCGCGTTCACTCCTCGTCCTCCCCTGCTGCCCCCTCCCTCCTCCTCTCGTCATCATGATCGTCATCACCCGTTTCAGCACACCTCTCACACACAATTCGTGGCCCCATAGGGGGGCTCCACCGAAGGTCCCAGTGCTACCGCCCGCATGCGCCCCCCCCCACCCAGTACAGCGCTTCGTGGCCCCATGGGGAGCTCCACCGACGGTCCCAGCGCTACCGCCCGCATGCGCTCTCCCCCACCCAGTACAGCGCTTCGTGGCCCCATGGGGAGCTCCACCGACGGCCCCAGTGTTACCGCCCGCATGCGTCGTCCAGCGTTTCATGGTCCCATGGGGAGCTCCACCGACGACCCCAGTGCTACCGCCCGCATGCGCTCTCCCCCACTCAGTACAGCGCTTCGTGGCCCCATAGGGAGCTCCACCGAAGTTCCCAGTGCTACCGCCCGCATGCGCTTCCCCCCACCAAGTACAGCGCTTCGTGGCCCCATGGGGAACTCCGCCGAAGGTCCCAGTGCTGCCGCCCGCATGCGTCCCCCCACCCAGTACAGCGCTTCGTGGCCCGATAGGAAGCTCCACCGACGGCCCCTGTGCTACCGCCCGCATGCGTTCCCCCCATCCAGTACAGCGCTTCGTGGCCCCATAGGGGGCTTCACCGAAGAAGATGTTCACAGTTGCGGTACTCACAACTTTATATTGCTGGACCTCTCGCCAGGGTAATTTCATTTACGCCTATCTAGATTCTCCAAAAGCCAGCGTTCACACTCGCGAGGCTTTCGTTTGATCACCCCGCCAGGACCGACCAGCCTTGGGGTGGAGGCGGCGTTGGACGCACCCTCAGGCCATTAGCAACGAGCGACGACTAGTGTAAACTGTTGTAGTAAACCCTCCCTCCAAACTCCCTCTTCGCAGGCCCCTGCAAGAATTTGTCCTCTTTGCGGGAAGTCCCCCAGTGGACGCCTGATATTCCCAACCGTGCCATTACTCCATCCCTGGGGCTTCAACGCCGCGAGTCAACGTGACAGTGGCGTCCTGGCATTCCCAACTCGTGCCAGAACACAAATCGTAGTATTCGAACTCCGCGAAGCAATGTGAGTGCTGCGTCCTGACAGTCTTAGGTCGTGCCAGAACAACACTCCTGTGACGTACGCCATCTTTGAAAAGGTTGCAAAGTGTCAAGACGACTGTGCACGGCGCTGAGGCCAGATCCACATTTTGAAAACGGGCGGTCCTCCATGTCTGAATTTGCTGAGGGCGTGAAGGGGGAATACGCGCGGCGCCAGGGCGCCAGCCACATTAAAAAAATGGCCGCCCTCCATCTTCGAAGCTGCAGCGAGCCTTTAGACGCAGGTGCGCGGCGCTAGGGCGGAAGCCGCATTCTAAACACCACCCGCGTCCCATCATTGAAACTGATCCCCAGACCAAAGTTTCGGATCATAGATGGTGAGGACCTTTCAGGCGAAACGCCTGGCCCGCCCTACCGACACGTCGAGGGGTGCGACGCGACAGGGAGGAGATATTCCCGACCCTCCCTTGGTCGGGTTCTCGCTTTCTGAGCAGAGCACTTCGCGCGCAACTGTCGACCCACTCGCTCCCCCCGCCCCCTGCCTCCTGATCCTGCTCCCCCTTGCTCGTACATTCCCTACTGGGGGGGGCTGCGAGCTGCGCAACTGTCACCGGTTTCGTTCGGAAGCCGGGCGAGGGCTGCTAAATCCGTGGCTGCTAAAATCGACCTCTGGGAAGTTGTCTTCGTCCTTCCGGGAAGAAACCCGTTGACTGTTTCGCGTGCCGCGCCTCATTCCGGGAAGTTGTTTTTAGGTCCAGGAGGGCCGTTTTAGCAGCCACGGTTTTAGCAGCCCTCGCCCATCTTCCGATTAGTGGGCTCCCGGGAGGCTGGCGAAGTGACATGAACAGAAAGACCCCGAGGTCCGCGCAGATGTCTCGGATCGGCGTCGGACTCCCGGGGCTATCGTTTGAGACCTCGCGGCCGCTCCGGGGGCTGCGAACTGGCGCAACCGTCGCCACCTCCGCGGGCCTCCCGGGAGGCGCGGCGGCGGTGCAGGGCAGCGGAGATCACCGTCGAGGCCTCGCGGCTCCCGCGCGGGCTGCGACACCGGGCGCAGCTGTCGCCACGTTCGTTGCTCCTGGGGGGGATGCTGGAATTGCGCTCTGATTCGCCGAGGAGACGGTCAGCTTAGTGCGGCACTCACTAGCTGCTGGCAGAAACACGCGGTATCTAGCGGCACGGGCGCCAAGGTGTCACAGCGCGGGCTGCGAACTGGCGCAGATGTCGCCGCTTTCGTTGATGGGCTTGTTTTCCACCACCACCACCACCACCACCACCACCACCACCACCACCACCACCACCACCATATGTTGGAGGGGGGAAGGAGGTCGTCGAGGAAGAGGAGGAGGAGGAGGAGGAGGAGGAGGAGGAGGAGGAGGAGGAGGATCCGCGCGCATCGGGGAGGCGGGCGGACGGCCGCCTCCCGAGCGCCTGCGGCGGCGGGCGCGCCGACAGGGGCCCTGCCTCCAGGCTAGGGCCCCTGGCCACGGGAGCCCGCTCACGGCGGGCTCCCGACCACGGGGGCCCCCAACAGGGCCAGGCCCCCGACCACGGGGGCCCGCCTCTCGGGCAAGGCCCCCGGCCGTGATGAAGGCGACCATCGACGAGGCGCCCCAGTCGATCACGGCCTCGCTCCCGAAGCACGGGATGACGGTCTTACCGATGCCGTCCATGTGCCGCCCCGGAGCCCCCGCCGCGGCCGCCACCGGTCGCCGCCACGCGCCTCTCGAGGTCGGTGAGCAGCGCGATGAGCTCGCCGCGGCCGAAGGGCGGGTTCGGCTGGGGCAGCCCCGCGCTCTTCTGCAAGCGGGTGACGCTGAGCCGCAACTGCCAGATCTCCTGCCGCGCGTACTTGCCCTCGTTGCCGTGCTCGTCGCCCTTGCCAGCGTTCTTGCCCTTGTCCTCGCGCGGGGCTGTGCTGGGCGGCTGCCGGCCGCGCGGCTGCACCAGCAGCCCGTCGGCCCAGCTGTCGTCATCCAGCATCGGCTGGTCGGCAACCGCCGCGGGGCCCTCGCCGCTGCGCCAGCCGCCCCCTGTGCCTCGTCGGTCACGTCGATGTCCATGATTGCGGGCCCAGCCTGAGCCGCGCCGCCGCCGCCTCGAGGCCGTCGCTGCCGCCGCCGAGGGGCCGCAGCGCGCGGGCCAGGCGCCTGGGCGGGCGCGGCGGGCGCAGGAGGAGCCGCAAGGATGGCCACCGCGGCCCGCGCGAGGCCCTCGGCGGCGCGGAGCAGGCGCCTCGCCTCGCGCTCTACGCCGCCCGTCAGCCCAGCAGCAGCGTGAACTGCCAGGGTCGCCCCGCGGGCAACCTCCAGGGCCGTCTGCCTCGGGGTCGGCGGCATCAGCGGCGCTGCGGGAAGCAAGGCGACCCTGCGGAGCGAGCTTGAGCCAAACCAACTAGGAGGAGGAGGAGGAGGAGGAGGAGGAGAAGGAGGAGGACACCCTCCCACTCCAACTTGTAGTGGTGGTGGTGGAAAACAGGCCCACAATTCGTTGCTGCTTGGGGGGGGCAGGGCGGAGGTGCAGGGCAGCGCAGATGAAGGCGAGACCTCGCGGCTCCGTCGGGGGCGGCGAGTCGTGCAACGGTCGCCACGCTCATGGGCTCCCCGGAGGCAGGGCGGAGGTGCAGGGCAGCGCGGAGGAAGGAGAGACCTCGCGGCTTCGTCGGGGGCGGCGAACTGCACACCTGTTTGGCACTTTCATGGTTTTCCTGGGGGGCAGGGCGGAGGTGCAGGGCAGCGCGGGCGAAGGCGAGGCGAGACCTCGCGGCTCCGTCGGGGGCTGCGAGCAGCACACTTGTCGGCACTTCCGTGGGCTCCTGGGGGGCACGGCGGTGCGTTCATTGTTTAATGGAGCGCTCGTGCAAGTCTAGCGTGCGCACGGAACCGCTCTTGCGCTTGGTTGTCGCTTCAGTTGGTAGCGACATCGTATGGAAGCGCGCATCATGGAGAAGCGTGGCCACGCATGCACGCGCAGGCGCAGAAACACATCATTATAATGCACCTGCGTTAGTCGGCGCATGCAACTGAGTATGGTCCAAAGTCTGACGAAACTGACGCAGTACAGGGAGAGACTCCACGGCTGGCCGCCGATTTAGGTGTACGTGTAGTACATCGTGGCCATGTGCCATGCGGGGGACTATCCGGATCATGTTGCAGAAGGAGGAGGGAGAGGAGGCGGATGAAGCGAGAGAGAGAGAGAGAGAGGAGGAGGATGTGGATGTTTATTCCTCCTCGCTTTCTCCCCTACTCCACTCCCCCTTAGTACTCATCTGTCTGCTCTCCATTTTGTCCACTGCCAAACGTCCACTCCCACGATCAACACCTACAATCCTTCGCAGGGTGCACGTACAGGTACGATCAAAGAGCGTGCGATTCAGCTGTAAGGTGTCGAGTGCTGGCGGGGAGATCCGAGCGCTTATATTCATCCTTTTCCTGCCATCCTGAACGTTTGCTTAGCGCGTCGCGCTGCCAGTTCTGGCCCACCGCGTTTCGGCGCGACACGCTATCTGTGCCCCAGTCGCCAGGCGTCAACGTGCCGAGCTGTTCCCAGCCTCCGGCCCCTCGAGGCGGAGCAACACGCTATCAGCTCGCAGGGCATAGCTTGTCGCCAGGGCCACCGCCGCGACACGCCGAGCAAGATGCCCCGACCGCAGTCTGCAGCCAGGCCGGATCATCATCCCGGACATTGGTTCCGATACCGTGGGTCTGTTGTTGAGCTTCCTGTACACGGCGGATATATCGGGCGCGGTCGCAGAAGCGGAGGACAGCCCGGATAGGGGGGGGAGGGAGGGAGGGAGGGAGGGAGGGAGGGAGGGAGGGAGGGAGGAGGGAGGGGGGGGGAGGCGAGGGAGGAGGAGCCAGGCAAGGGGATGAGGAGAGCGGGGAGGGGAAGGATTCGGGCGACAATGACGGATGAGGGGGAGGCGTAGGTGAGGCAGGTGGAGGTAGGGGACGGGGGGGAAGGAGGAGGAACATTGGAAGGAGGAGGGGGAGGATGAGGAGGAAAAAGAGGAGGAAACGGATAAGACGGTGAAGGACGATGGAGGATGAAGAGGTCGTGGTGGTGGGGGAAGATGGGGAGGGTGAGCGAGGGGGAGGATGGAAGGGAGGATGAGGAGGAAGCCTCCTCTCTCTCGTCGGGGAGGAGGATGAAGAGAACGTCCTTGCACTCTTTGAGCCCACCTCCCCATCGTTCCGATGCCGTCGTCCCTGCTCATAGAGCCTCTTGATTCGAGCCTCGGAGTCTTGTCCGAGGCTCGAATCTAGAGGGTGTTCGGCATCTCCTGGGGCCAGGAAGAGTGCACCGCTAGCTTGCGGCCGCCGTTGTATGCGTTGACCTCTTCTTGTATAGCGTCTTGCTCTCCTACCTCATGAGGCAAGTCACATTTTCTATGTCTTCAACGCGCATGGCCCAGTCTGAAAGGCCGTGATGGCTCGCAATGTGACCTGGAGCCAGGCAGATTACACAGCTGCGCATCTCGAGAGTTGTTGTTGGCTTCATCGCTTCGTCCCTCCTCGAGAGGACCCGCCAGAGGTGCTCGGCCGGCTGATGCTCGCGGCAGACAAGTACGAGGCGGCCTCGCCTTTGGGGCTCCTCCTCCTCCTCCTCCTCCTCCTACTACTACTCCTACTACTACTACTACTACTACTACTACTACTACTACTACTAGTGCTACGACTACTACTACTACTACTACTACTACTACTACTACTACTACTACTACTACGACTACTACTACTACTACTACTACTACTACTACTACTACTACTACTTACTACTACTA